AGCAGCAGCAGGGGCGGGCGGCGTGGTCGCAGCTTGCTGCTGCTGCAGCTGCCGCCACTCCTCGTGGTGCACGCGCTGCCAGGTATGCTGCTTCTGTCTTGTGACACAGTCGCACATTTTTAAGCCATTACCGTTAATCATTGACCCCGCATTAAGCATTCTTATTCGTATTACTACTACAGCAGCATCCGGGCTGGCCCGAGACTCACCTCCATCTCCACCACAACGCCCTGACCTGGGATGACCCTGCCCAGAGCTCCCACTGCACGGGCAGTGAAGAATCGTCGCACACTCAATCCGATCGAAACACAAAACGGTTTTAGTTATTAATCTTGGCCTCGTTCACCCAGAAAAGCCTGGCTGTGTCTCAAGACTTTTCGTGAGGAGGTGTGTGTACTTCAGCATGGGGAATGTTTTGACGAATACCAGTTGCATAGTAGTGTATCTTTTAGCTGATAAAAATGAAATACGTGACGAGTCGAAGATAAATTGCCTTCGTGCGCATAACACAATTGGCAAATGTGTACAGCGCAGGTCACGTGTGTGAGGTGTACTGCAGATGTGCCTGGCTCAGCAGAGACTCGGGCACGCGATTTCGCAAGAGCCGCCACCATAAAAGACAAAGGTCCCCCGTATAGCCTGAACAGAACGTTGGGGCAAGTGCTGTTAGCGAGTGCCTATGAAGGCCGGTACGGCACACGAGAGGATGGGTGGCCAGCACCCCGCCCAGCCGCCTTTGTCTCCCTAGTGGCGATCTTTACATACCGCACCAGGTACTAATTTGAGGCTGAGTCAACCTAGGAGAGGGCCAGGACCGGTTCGGCTAATCGTCACTGGTGTTGGTGGCCGTGAGCGGGAATCGAGCTCTAGTCCATAGCGCAGCACGCTAACCGCTTCAATACCACTCCCCATCACCATCATCACCATCACCACGATCACCACCATCACAATCACCACGATCACCATCACCATCATCACCATCACCACGATCACCACCATCACGATCACCACGATGACCATCACCACGATCACCACCATCGTGGTGCCACCCACTCGCCCAGTTCCGCCGCGAATCGAGAGACATTACGCAATTGTTCCAGGAGTCATAATGTGTGTATTTATCCGGGAGGGTCCTGCTGCTACATTCGCTTTATTAATGCTGAGTTGTGTTTATTATCCGTGCGGGAGGAAACCTGAGCCCTCCCCGCCTCTCACCCTCCTGCCCGCAGGGGGTTGAGTCACGGCGGGGGTGGTGTCGTGGTGCTTGATCACCCACTCACTCCGCACGGGGTGCACCTGCCAGGAAATACCGCGCTCGGTACAGAGGTCGCTTGCTCCGATTCGGGCGAAGCAAGGACCGAGGCTGCCCGGCTCGGCTCTTCTGGCTTCGTGGTTTCCAAGCCGTTCGCCCGGTGCCGCAGTGGGCCCGGCAGCACCGAGTGTCCCTTTGGCCCAATCCAAGTTAATTTGCCTCCCGAGCGACGAGTCCTCCACACAAAGAACACTAAGGTCCCCCGTGTCGCCTGACCACCCTCTTGCGGGACGTGCTGTCACCTATGAAGGCTGGCACGCCCGGACGTCTTTGTCTCCCCAATGCTAATGTTTAGGAGCCCCGAATGTGGTGGCTGGGCGAGTGCTTGCTCGTGTGTGTGGGGAACAGATCAGGGATAAATGTTGTTTCACGTGGAAGTTAAATGTGCAATCATTAATTAGGCCGGCCGCTGGGTTAGAAGCACGTCCCTCCGCGCCAAGGCAGCAAACTCGCTTCCCGCCGAGGCCAAGCTTGCAGGTCCGCCCAAGCGAGGAGACGCTCGATCAACGATTCATTCACAAGCGCGAGCCGCGCGCGCGTGAATGAGTAATCGCGAATTAAGCGCAGAGGCGCGCAGGGAACCCAGGGGAAGGGTCACCCGCAGATTTGGGTGCCGGGCTCGCACCTTTGCCCGTGACGACATCGCCCCCAGAGTGCCAGACCCCTCCGTCTTATCAGAAGCTACACATCGCGCTCGGGGTGTTTGCCGTTTTCGCTACGCGAATTTTAAAACGATTGTTTGATTTAGATGCTGGTAATAGATAAGATTCGGTTTTGGATTATAATTTGTTTTGTATTTGTTGCTTTCATGCAGTATGCAATTTCCGTGCACACAATGTGAATGTATCCCAATGATTGACAGAACTATACCTGGCCAATAATATCTGATTGACGTTGTCCGCGTGCGGCTTGTCAGAGCGGCACTGTCGCCCTGAGAGACGGTGTTGAAGCTACCGCATCCAATTGGTCCATGGGCAAGGACAAACATCGCTACCACATTGTAAGATAGCAACACTTGAGTCGCACCAATAGTCTTCCTTTGGCTTTGTATGGTTGATGCTGTAGAGCAACAGTTATCATTTTATATTCACGTCGTCGAGCCAGATGATTGCATCCGGAGTAGCCGAGTGGTGGATCGCTGTGATAATTCCTCCTTTATACAGATGTCTGTATGAGCCTGAAGGGTCTCTATGTGAGTCATTGGGTCTCAGGGTGAATCTATAATATCTCAGTCTTCTTTTTCGTACCTTAACAGCCACCACACGCAATCGGAGCTACTCCATAAACAGTGGAGCAGGAGATTAACTCATGGACCGACCACCCACAAGAGATCTCCATCTGCTTTGCGCAGTTTCCACTCCGCTCGATGGGAACGGGAGTACAACCCAGGCCCTTCAACATTCGTTCTCAGGGCCCCCCGTTCCCCACAGATAGGCAACTCCTGGGGCCGTTTCCCGGAACGGAGAGGAACCGCATTGCCATCGAACTGTTGGCGATATTGTTCCCATCACTGCGCAAGCAGAGGCGATGCACTGCCCACTGCAGTTTGTAGTGAGGTGCGCCTCTGATCTCCGCACGTTGAAGGCAAGGGTTGATGGATCACAAAGAGATGTGTGAAACTGCCAGAACCGGCTGGGCGGGTCAGGCGTCCAGATGGTAGCTCAGCAGCGGTGACGTCTCAGAGCCAGGCGCTCCCCAGCGGCGGAGACGCGCGTACACCGCATCTCGACTCCAGACGTGAAACAGCGCCGCTCCCTCCCTCCCCTCTCCCCCCACACACCCTCCACCCTCCTCCCCATTCTCCTCCTCCCCTCCCTCTCCGCCCCCTCTGTGCCGGTTCCTGGGTTGCGGCGGTGCGCGTTGCGGCAAGGAGGAAACAGTGTGGAAGAAGAGGCGGTGAGGAGGAGGCGGCGGTGGTGAGGAGGAGGTGGTGAGGAGGAGGAGGAGGCGGCGGTGGTGAGGAGGAGGAGGTGGTGAGGAGGAGGAGGAGGCGGCGGTGGTGAGGAGGAGGTGGTGAGGAGGAGGAGGAGGCGGCGGTGGTGAGGAGGAGGAGGAGGTGGTGAGGAGGAGGAGGTTGTGAAGAGGAGGAGGCGGCGGCGGCGGTGAGGAGGGCAGAGCTCCGCGCGCGCTCCAGCCTCGACCAGCAGCACGGACCTCATCAGAGACGAGGTGTCGCTCTCTCCCCGTCTCTCGCCCGTCTCTCGCCCCGTTTGTGTCTCCCCGTCTCTCGCGCTCGTCCTGTCTCCACTCCCCGTCTCTCTCCCAGTCTCTCGCCCCGTCTATCTCCCCATCCCTCGCTCTCTCCCCGTATTTGTCTCCCCGTCTCTCGCTCTGTCTCCACTCCCCGTCTCTCTCCCCGTATTTGTCTCCCCGTCTCTCGCCCCGTCTCTCTCCCGTCTCTCTCCCCGTATTTGTCTCTCCGTCTCTGTCCCCATCCCTCGCTCTCGTCTTGTCCCCCCTCCTCGTCTCTCCCCATCCCTCGCTGTGCCCGTTTCTCGCCGTCTCCATTCCGCCCAGCTGATGACATCACCCGCACCCACACGTGGGCGCTGTGCACGGGCAGCGCGACTCGCGTATCGGGGGGGGGGTACTCTGAGTGGGGGGGGGGTACTCTGAGTGGGGGGGGGGGGCTCTGGGTGGGGGGGGGGGTATTCTGAGTGGGGGGGGGTACTCTGGGTGGGGGGGGGGGTACTCTGAGTGGGGGGGGGGCTCTGAGTGGGGGGGGGTACTCTGGGTGGGGGGGGGGTACTCTGAGTGGGGGGGGCTCTGAGTGGCGGGTACTCTGAGTGGGGGGGGGGGGCTCTGAGTGGGGGGGGGGGGGCTCTGGGTGGGGGGGGGTACTCTGAGTGAGTGAGGGTCTCAGTGAGAAGGGGGGGGGGCTAAGTTGGTTCTTGTTGACTCTGCGCTTTGTGCGTCAGTCCTCGCTGTGCCTCTCATCCTCCTGCTGCTCCTCGTGATTGCTCAGTCACGACGCGTCGAGGCGCGGCTGCATTGAGACAAAAACACACAAACACATTAAAACACACACACACACACAGACACACACACACACACACAGACACACACACACACAGACACACACACACACAGACACACACACACACAGACACACACACACAGACACACACACACAGACACACACACACAGACACACACACACAGACACACACACACAGACACACACACACAGACACACACACACAGACACACACACACAGACACACACACACAGACACACACACACAGACACACACACACAGACACACACACAGACACACAGACACACACACACAGACACACACACACAGACACACACACACAGACAGGTCGCCTCTGTTGTTGTGCGCGTGATGTGTGGCCGAACCTGTTCCCACGCCGGGGTGTGTAGCCACCCCCGCAGCGCAGCCCGCGGTAAACTTCCTCCGCGGTGTCCTCTCTGACTGCTCGGCACGGGACCCCAGTACAAGGAAGTGAACGCGCGTTCCCAACTCGCGCAAGGAATTTCACTTCACTTTTCAAATTCAAATGAGTGCCGTTTATCATGAGCTTAAAAAATGGTTCGGGAAAATCCATGTCATATAAAAAACAACGCGTGCAACTCGCATAGAGGCTAACCGTGTTCACGTAACGATTCTGAAGAAATGACTTGTGGGTATGTCGAATGAGTTGTAGGTGGAAATCGGCCATCCGTGACGGGTTCCGTGCCATCACAGAGTTGTTCAACGCCGCGGAGTTGTGAACAGCGGCCGCATCACTCAGCAGCGGACGACGCCAATGACCATCGGCCACTCACTCGGACACCAACGGGCGCTGCTGGAGGGACACGGTTTGACTTGAGCTGTCCTGTCGGGAGGTTGATTCTCTCCCGAATGGAAACACTGGAAGAGCAGACCCACCGCACTGCAAAAGCCCCTCCATTAAACCAGATACCGAAAAACTGATTTCGTAAACCTATTTGAGGAAGCCGTGGACAATGGGGATACATGTATTTTCGTCTGAGCTGTATCCCGCCTCGAGGAGATAGTTTTATTTGGGGCTCTGTTTGGGGTCACGGAGTTTGTTTTCGTGACGTTGACAGTCGTAGAACAGGGCGGTGGAGGATGTCGCATTTCAAAAAATTTGGCACAGATAATAAGGTTTAAAAAAACACCGTGTTTGATGTTTGATGAAAATAAAAATGGGGGATAAGGACCATTTTACAACCCCCATGCCCGATGAAATCATCACACGGTGTTTAAAATTCCGTAGAAGATGTAGATTTGAGATATTGCCGTACTGAACCACATGCTTGCCACGTAGGCAACGGGAATGCGAAAGTCAAAAGACGGTGGATTGGCGTGAGTGATCGCAGGTGGCACACACAATCACACCCAGGCTTCTGACGACTGCACCTGCGGGTCTACGGTCACGTGCGAATCGACGTGAACAACGTGAATCGGCATGGAGAGTAAACTGCGTCCACACAACCACGGCAGCGGCAGCAGCTGATGCAAAAACTCGGTACACAGATGGAAAATGTAAAACTCTCCGATCAGTATGCGGAGACTGTGGTCACCACCCACAACTGACCATGGAATATAGAACGACTCGCAAACACGAAGGAGCGATGATTCACCACTCCGCTACTTCTGACTCATCCCAATGTAAAATGATTGCTGTTGCTCTCCAGCGCAGTAGATACAAGTTGGATCATGCCATGATACTCCTTTTCTCTGATTAGTCACGGATGGTGCCAGCGGGGATGGTAGGTCTCTCGCTGTACTTCACGGCGCTGTCGACGCGGTGTTCATGACGTCGATATCAACGATCTAATAGCCGGCCACGCGATGCCGTCACTGGTTTGCAATGCCCCTCGGCACGCTGGGCCCTTGCGGGCCAACGCGTAGCGGCTACCGGCAACGCGTCGTCACGTGGCCAAGAGGTGCTCCCTCGCGATGGAGGAGTCGGGTGGACTCCGGCAGGGCCGTGACTTCACCAGAGACTCTTTAGGTTGACGCACAAGAGGTCACACGCTTGTGTCGGTTATTATTTTACCCATTAACAACGATTCCAGCTCGCCGTGTAACACGGCCTGCGTATTCACACGCACTGCGTATTCACACGCACGCGCTCGCACGCCCGCTGTTGTGGTCTCATCTTCCCCAAAGCCTGCTGACACTACTGCTGCGACGCAGCCTGACAGCGGTCGAGTGGAACTCGCGCTCCACAGGCCGCTGTGCCCGCAGCAGAGCGCATGCCTGCAATCCTCGGTTGGTGTTGGGCGAATGGAGAAAGGTTTCACCGTATAGACTCTCATATCTGCTGGTTTGGTGGTGGGGAGCAGGGAAGGGTTCAACCACAGATAGTGGAGACCGGACATTCGCTTGGGCAGTTGCTGACCGTGAGCACTGCCCCATAGTGCATTAGAGTTACCATTCTCGTATAGTTACCATTCTCTTCTACTCTTGTGTATGATAGCATCTGTTCAGAAGCTAGATGCCAATGTCGAGGTCTCATAATTAGCACAGCGAGAGGGCTGAGAGTTTTCTGTAGTTACTCGTGTCGTTACCATCAAAGTGATGCATGTGCAGCTATTGCTATATTTGTTGATGTCATGGCCTGAGATGATGGGGAATATTTTTTATTCGCCATTTTCTCATTGTCATTCCGCCACTGTTTTGGTGAAACAATGGCCATTTTCCTAGAAATGCGGTACTTTTTTGTTATTCACGTGTGGCCGGCTTTCATCAGTGCTCGCTAACAGCACCTGCCTCAACAGTCCGTTAAGGCTATACGGGGGATATTTGTTTGTGTGTAAGACAGACGGAACCTGATTGGTCGGGTCAGTCTGTCGCGAGGGGTGAGTCTGGTGACATCAGCGTGCATCCTCGATTCCCATTGGCACTGCTCCCCAGGTGCTGGTTGGCATGCGGGGGATTTTTCATGAGCAAATACTTCTGCTCATGAATGGGGCCTCTGAAGAAGATTCCTTTCAGAACTCGCGCAGAACAGCGTATCACCCGGCGTGAGAGCAGTCTGCAGAAGGAGACCACAAAATGGCTTCCAAGATTCCTTCAAGTGACCTTTAATTAACACACAAAGTAGGGGGCACACTTATCTACATGGCCACCTTTCAGATAATTGTCGCAGTTTTAGCGCTTAGAACTGGAATTTAGTGAATGTAGGTGATAAATCTTTTGGCGTCATCTGGTCCAACACCATGTGAGACTAGGCTCTAAGGAAAGCTGTCTCCGGTGTGGACCAATCAACTTCAAGGACAGTGCATACATTATCAGAGTTATGTTTTTTGTTTTTATTATGACTGCAGGTATTGTGGTCTATGCAAACATGACTCCTCGTAAAAAAAGGTGTCAGTTTTGTTGCCAGATAAAAGGGTAAAAAAACAGTTATCGTGATAAATCTAGTTACAAATTTAATGTATTATTGTTCAGTCATTTGTATCTGGCCAATACTCGGCTCTTGCGAACCCAGTTGAATCGAGGGTGTGGCTGAAACCTGGGATTGGAACCCAGGATCTCAGCCGTGCCGGCTCAGTGCTCCAACACGAGCCACCCGCCTCTCCTGACCCCCCACCCATCCGTGGCACATGTCGGGCCACGCACGTTGGTAGCTGCCAACGAGCGCAGACGCGTCCCGTCCAGCACCGCGCAGACCCTCGCGCTCACAGCGCAATGCAGCACCCATGAAGCTCTGTGGAGAGGCTATTTCAGGAATCGTGTTGGCAGTGGTGCGCAAATCGAGCCTGTGCGTGGCACTGACACTGCTTCATGACGAGTGTGCGCCCTTGCGCCGAGATTGTTCCTGGTCTCATTTGTTGCTTACCCCAGACTGATGTTGTTTTACTAATTATATGCATTCGCCCATTAACTTCATAAAAGTTTAAAAGCTTTGTTACCTAATATCTGCGAAATGTTACTCCAACCCTATTTTTAAAATAATTACCTCTTGACCTTGACATTTAAAATGTCACAGCCACTCTGTACCCTGGGGGAGCTATGCATCACTGGACTCGAATATTATTATTTTTATTTTTATCCTTCACGAGCCCAGCCACCAAGGTACAGAGAGAGAGATCTAAGGGCAGATTGTGGGACGCTGCCATCAGGGAAGATCGTGGAGGTTGCTGCGCTGCCTCACCACTGTGCAGCAGCAGTAGCAGCAGCTGCAGGATCTAGCGAAGAGTGGAGCGTGGCATTGTGGTGTTGCTGACTTTGGCCACGATGACGTCTTGATCTTATAACTCGACTGGCAAGAGAACGCGTAAACTTCTTTGCAGTCTGCATGTCTCTGTGGCTATATGATAGCAGAATGTTCGTCAGAACAGGGAGCCAATGGATTGGTGTCGGTCTCAGGGTTCTGGTTGTGATGCTCATTGCGTTATTTAATTATGCATCTGGAAGGTTTGTAGAGGAGCTCCCGGACCAGGCTGGAGCGCAGTGACTCTGCCACCGAGTAGATCGGTGAGAGGGCGACAATTCGCAGCGCATCATCCGAGGCGCCCCAGGTCGTTCCTGCAAGTTTATGGGTAATGTGATGAGTGTGTAATGTGATCGCATTACAGTGCTTAAAACACATTTCTAGCAATTTAAGTTACACCATTCCACAACAGTAACTCTGGAAACGCTAAAGAAAGCTTTTACAGTGTATAATCACGCTCTAGCACAGCGGTTATTAACAGCAAGTGGTAAAGTATTTTTTGCCGACGCTTTATAAAAAGAGCGGACAAATAGGTAAATGTGATGCAATAGTAATTTTCAGCACTTTGTAAATCCGCTGCTAGATGAAGGTCTCCTCCCGCCGTGGCGGTTACAAGGGGGGCATTCGACCATACTTCACCACACTGGTCGATGTGGAGGTGGGCGGTGGGGGGTCGGACTGATTCTGATATCGCTCGCCACTGACGTTAGCCGTGGCTGGGAATTACATTTTGGTAGCCAGGTTCATAGCACAGGGCGTTAGCCACGGCGCCACTGCACCCCACCAGTCCCACGCTAATGCAATGGAAACGGCGTCACGTAGATGATTCTATTACAGCTGCCATGCCACGTGGGCGCAGGTTTCGCATACAGAGCCACTGCAGTTCGATTTGTGTTGTTTGCATATTGAATTAAACACAAGTCAATGGGTGATTCCATGCCGAGTGACGGGCGAATGAAACGCAGTCTCGTGTGCGTGTTCACACCACAGGCAGACCGCGCAGTGACGGCGGGACCTCTTATCAAGCACTTCGTCTCGGGGGGGGGGGGGGGGCAGAAATGTGATGTGAAATACACTGCTGATTCTGATGTAATAATGCCAGTAATATAACAATGCCAATTATTTATTCAGGAAGGCCTCACTGCGGCCCCAAGACTCCATCATTGAGATGTTTGGCCGGTACCATTCATGAAGCGTTTGGCTCCTTGTGGCAGGAACCCAGAGAAACCCCAGGCAGGCCCAGGCTCTTGAGGGGCCACGCTCGGTGCTGCCACCTAGTGGCAGCCTCCTCGCCTACAACGCCCAGCCAGCCCTGGCGGAGGTGTCTCATCCTCGTACTAACCCGACTCAAGTCTGCTTAGCTTTCGAGATCTGATGAGGTTAGGTGGTAATCTTCTCGTAGGTGTAATCTCTATTCCGTTAGGATCTATGCCCCAGCTGTGTTCCGCCACAGTTTAATCTGGATATCCTAACACCTGTTTTATTGCCAGACAGGGTAAAACATGTTTTTTTTTCATCAACTAAATCTGAGTCTGCAAAATGACTCAACTGTGATGGAATTTAGAACTGATAGTTAAACCTACTGTCTTCTCTATTAACAGTAAAAACACATTTATGGATTAGAAAACACACCAATAAATGTAATTGCCCATGGTTAAACCTTAGTACCAATGGACTTCAGCAGTGCCCTATTCCTGGCATCTGGCCTTTCAAAATTACTCTATATGGTATAAAACTGTTAATAACATGCACTTTATAAACTTTATACTGAACAGGTGATTGTTTTTATCCCTGTATTTCTTTCACGAGTGCGCCCCGAATTACAGACTTCTGCTGGGCCCCCGCTCCGGGTACCCCGGTGCCTTGCGTAGCACCGAGGCCGTTTGAAATTCGCATCATTAGCAATTTCACACTTGAGCAAACAAACCCGAAACATTTCTAAGGGTAACAAATGTACAGGTTAACCTGGCGGGCCGCACCCTTGGATGTTGCGTGGCCTGGCCGAGTACGATGTCCTCTGTGTACAGTACACGATGAACTCCTTGACCCTTAGTTGTGTGTGCGAGGTCACGCCACTGCCTTAGACTCCCTTGGGCTCGTACTGACCAACTCACACCGCAGCTCCCTCGGGCAACACCGACAAGAAACCGCTCCGCAAGAATCACCTCCACCACTTCGTGTCGAGCGAGTTGTGAACAAGATTCCTCGGCAGATTATGAGGCTTGGCAGGACGCCTCGTGTGCGCCGGCGGGATTCTGAAGGTAATATCGCCGCTGCTCACAAAGTAAATCATATTCTACTCGTGTGCATGACTGCAGCGGCAGCAGCAGCAGCAGCAAACAGTTCAGAAGCTCGATGCCAATGTGGAGGTCTGCTGCTGGCCACGACGAGAGGGCTTCAGCAGAAAGAGAGTTCGTGTCGCTGTTCCTCCGCTGAAGGAGTGCAAGCTGCACACACCACACACGAACCCGTGTGTGGTCACTCCTGCAGTGAAGTGGAACGGCGAATTCCCGACCTGGGAGAATGGCACCGCATCAACTAATGCGGCACACTCAGTCATGGAAACATTAAAACGAAATTAAACAGGAAAGTAAATACATAAAAAATATGTAAATGCTATTTTGTAAAACCTTTATTTCTACCGCTGCCCAGCTCCGCGCTAGTTAACTATTGCAATTTAAATCACCCTAATGCTCCGTCCCGCATCAGTGGCCCAGTTGGTTTGCCCCAGCGGCACGGCTCCTGGGGCGCTTTCCCCTGGTAGGCGTGGACTCTGTCCACGGCGTTGGGGGGGGGGGGACCTGGGGACTGTGTGAGGCCACACTGCGCATGCAGGTGGTGACAGAGGCAGGTGGTGACAGAGGCAGGTGGTGACAGAGGCAGGTGGTGACAGAGGCAGGTGGTGACAGAGGCAGGTGGTGACAGAGGCTGCTGCGCTCACCGCTTCTGTCCACAGAGGTGAGGATACTCTCTGCGTGCGGCGCTGTTCCATTGCGGTTCACAGTGGAGTACTGGGTAATGATCAATGTGTTCACACTGCCAACGTACAACTCTGTTGGGACTTAATGGTTTTCACGTAACCATCATATGATGCTGATGTAAAGCAACGGCTGTCATTTTACATTGAGGTGGTTGATGAGCCAGACGATTGCGTCAGGAGTAGTGGAGTGGTGCGTCGCTGCTGTGATGATGCCTCCTTTGTGGTTCGGGCACTGAGTTATTAGACGCTCTGCGGTTCTGTTCTGGGTGGCGACCACAGTCATCCCACACTGCCCTGAGAATTTTTAATGTTCCTATTTGTGCCTCAAGCTGATGCGGTTCAGGGGTTGTGGCCCAGAAGCTTTGTGGAAAATCAAAGTCAGGGACCTGCGTCATTGGGTCTTTGACAAGGAACAGGTGTTTGTGACTTCTTGTGAACTCCATTCAGCTTTTCAAGATTTCGTCATTATCGCCAGGGCTAAAGTTGCACTGTTGAAGGTGAAGTGCATGGGTCCAAAAGGGGTTGTGTGGCTTAAAGCGGTGGTGGTGAGGGAGATTCTTTAGATTCTGGGATTATCATCTTTTGTTATTGATGCCCTTATTTTGCAATCGTGCAAGGGTCCCCTGACTGTCCGTTGTGGACTGTTATCTCCGTCACAATTGACACGATGGGCCACGTAGTAAACCACTGCAGGATGCGCTCCTTCAACGGAAAAGGAGTTGCAAATCAACACAAAATCTCTCTGCTGGAGCCCTCTTGCCGTGACTGGCAGACGTTGGCATTTAGTTCTTGAACGTGTTTTTGCCATCACGCGCAAGAATAGAATAGAATCCGTCTCTCGGTGTAATTCCCTGCTTGGCAGAACCGCTGATGGAACAGCCAGAGGAGGGGAGGGGGGCGGGGGCGGTGGTGTCCATGCCCTGTAGGCGAAGCGCATTGATTGAGAATCCCAAACTGGTGAAGCAACTGCTGAGAGTTCAGTGTATCAGTGTATCCGGGCTCTGAACATCTCAAATCTTAAATTTTCTTGGGAAAATATTTTATTTTATCCTTAATGATGTTCATTGGTGCAATTGCACGTTTACAATGTATGTATTTAGCTTGTGTCTGCATGCGCGGAGCCAGGCAGCAGCAGCAGCTTCATCGTGTTGCAGGTCGCGGCATGGCCCCACGTCGCCGCCCGGCTTCCTTGTTGTGCGCGGTCCCACGGCGATGCTCGTCGCCATCTTGGTCCTGTGCCTGGCACCGCCGGGGCTCCAGGTACTGCGCGGCGAGCCCAACCTGCGCGGCGAGCCCAACCTGCGCGGCTGCTGCTGCTGCTGCTGCTGCTGCACACAGTGGGACCCGTGAGCGGTTCGGAGCCTGCCGAGCAGGGCCCGGTCACGGTGCCGCAGATCCCACTTGGGCGGTGGGATCTGGTGACCAGGGTGGGGGGCGGGGTGACTTGTTTCTTGGCTGACAGACAAACGCCTGTCTTCTCTGTGGCTTTTTGTAAAATTGCCCAGACGATCTTTGCCTTCTTCGGTAGGGGAGCGGTGGCGACGAAGTTAGCGCGTGGCGCTACAAACAGCCGGCCCAAGTTCGATTCCAGCTCACATACAACGCCAGTGACTAATACCTTAACTGGTCCTGGACATGTCTTAGGTCGACTTAGCCTCAAATGAGTACCCAGTGTGTAAACATTGCTACTGGGGAGATAAATGCGGCTGGGTTTGATGCTGGCCACCGACTCCCTCGTGTGCCATGCTGGCTTTAATAGGAGTTCACTATCATAACTGCCAGCACTTTCTCCGATAGTATGTTAAGGCTATAGGGGGGTCTTTATCTTTGCGTGTGATAGTGATTGAGACACTGGGGTGCATCGCGTCGACAGCCGCTGCCATGCCTCGCCCGCACCTCTTGTGTTCGCAATCCAACAAAGATTCCCTCCGGCTTGAGAAAAGTGTGCTCGTTACAAGTGGTCGTTTTATTAATGATTGTTGTTGGGAGAGAGAGATTTGTTAGCTCGATTCGTTTCCAACCTGCTTTATTTGTTCTGTTGTAATGGGTTCTCTCGTCATTTACTGATGCGAGCCCTCCAGGAGCGTCGCAAATACTGTGCGTACACACGTCGCCTGGAACTCTAGCACCACTCATTCACTGCATCCAAGCAGCATCTGCCTCCAGCAGCTCAAGATGACTCTCAGGTGACTCTCAGGTACTCACCTGCTGAGCTTGGCGTATGAGGGACTTTGAGCTCTGGCTCGGCAATTCTGAGGTCTCGATCGAACATTGCGTCCGATTCGCGAGATACGCGCGCGGGATAAAATGTGTTTATTATTCTTGTGACTCACTCTGGCTCGTAATGCGTGTGCGCGCGTTTGTGTTTGTCCGCAGGAAGCGCCGCTGCAGCGATGGGGAAGGATAAAGGCCGCTACACCGTCACCCCCTCCTCGGAGCAGCACACCAACGGGGGGGGGGGGGTCGCCGGCGAGGCGACGGGGCCCACGAACGGCGACGTCCCCGCCCAGGAGCCCCAGGACTCGATGCAGCTGAAGAAGGAGATCTCGCTCGTCAGCGGCGTGTGCCTCATCGTGGGGAACATGATCGGCTCGGGAATCTTCGTCTCGCCCAAGGGGGTCTTGATGTACAGCGCCTCCTACGGCCTGTCGCTCGTCGTCTGGGCGCTGGGCGGCATCTTCTCCGTATTCGGGGCCCTGTGCTACGCCGAGCTGGGCACCACCATCACCAAGTCGGGGGCCAGTTACGCCTACATCCTGGAGGCCTTCGGCAAGTTCCCGGCCTTCATCCGCCTGTGGACGTCCCTGCTGATCATTGAACCCACGAGCCAGGCCGTCATCGCCATCACGTTCGCCAACTACCTGGTGCAGCCGATCTTCTCCACTTGCGAGCCGCCGTACGCCGCCTCCAGGCTCATCGCCGCCGCCTGCATCTGTGAGTCGGCCCCCCGGGCGTACAGGGCGCTGTGTCGGCAAAAACAGATCATCGTCTCGATGTTGCAGCAGGGCCTGTTTTGGCTACGCACCACGTGGCTGCCTGTAATGCAGCACTGTGGAGGCAGCAGCGAGGGTTGGTGGATCGCACACAGACATCGTCGTTGTGAAACTCCCTCCCCACGGGCGTCGAGGTGCCGTACCCTCGCTCACCAGGAGAAGGCAGTACAGGGAAATGTGGACTCCACCTGGTCCATGTGTATGGGATAGAGTGTTGCCCCCTCACACGCGTGGGTTGTCTCCAGGTGCTGGGGTTTCATCCCAAATGTACACAAACCCATTAATTGACTGAAAAAAAATCGCAATATATCGGGGACCGCAGAGCTCGGGCAATTGTTTGGCTCTTCCTCACCGCCTGGCCTCCTTGCCGCTTGTCTGTGGTTCCTCCGCACGGCACCGTGTGGGATGTACACTACCCTACTCATTAACCATTATTGGGTTCAGGAATCAAAAGGTCTTTAGATAAACACTTCAGGTGCAGAACATTGTAAAGGTGCTGAAGTGATTCAGCTTGACCTTTGCCCCCTTGCCTCTGCAGATTAACGCGGGAGCAGCTGAATAACCCGGCCATGGCTCTAGGTGTTGGGAACGCAGAAATAGAGCAGGGAAAACGTTCAGTTATAGCCCTCAGCCATTCCACTGCTGGATGATGTCCTCCTCATGCCCCACGTCGATCATGGGCGTTGCTTGGTAGTACAAGAATGCGCTGAGTTGCGCTTCTAGTGTTCATAAAGAGTAGCCCCCCCCCCCCCACGTCTACCCACTTCATCAACCAAAATCACTTCCTTACACCTGTCTTAAATAGCTGTCTGTAAATAGCCTCAACGAGCACTCATCCGGATTATTCCAAATCATCATTGTTGTTACCACCACCATCCCCACTCCCACCACTACCACGGCCACTTTCACATGCCTGTGATTGGAGGTATTCACGTTTTAAATTCGCACGATGGTCCCTAGTACAATCGTGCTTAACTACATTCATAATGACTAACTAACTCTTGCCATTTCGACGTAATCAATTTATATATTTTTAATTATAATGTAACAAACTAAAACACCAACAATCTCTTTCCATTACAAATTCCTCATCGTGCCCCATAACATTAATTCACGAGAATCACAGTAGCATTAGAATTCCATCACTAATACCCTGCACCTTACCGTAATTCAGGCGAGGTGATTTTCACACATCACCTTTTTGCACTGCCCTAACCCTCCAACCACAACCAAACAACTCGCGATGAATCTCGACCACCGCGCACGACTGTGCCGATGACATCGCGGCACCCACTTCAGGACCGGGATAGCGTGGCACTCGCAACCTGAGCTCCTGCTCACAAGCCGAGGTCGCTGGACGTCGTCTCCGGCGACACGTCGTTGCCCGTTGGGAGACTCCTCCCTCTGCTGGTGGAGCAGTCAGACATTTGGCACGTTTGCATCACGGGTGGAGAAGAGGTCACGACACACTTTTACACCACCACCAAACCAAAAAGAAACCAATTATGAATCAGATAATTGGTTCTTTACCCTTCTATCTGGCAACAAAACTGACACCTTTTTGCAAGGAGTCATGTTTGCATAGACCGCAATACCTGCAGTCATAAATACAAACAAAAGACATAACTCTGATAATGTGCACTGTCCCTGAAGTTGATTGGTCCACACCCGAGACAGCTTTCCTTCGAGCCTAGTCTCATATGGGTTGGACCAGATGACGCCAGATAGAAGGGTAAAGAACCAATTATCATATTTTTACTGGCAAATGAGGTCCCCATAGTGTGAATTATGAATCAGTTATGAATCACTTATGAGTCAGTTATGAGTCAGTTATGTCTTTGAAGTAATCTAGATTACTTTGGTAAATGTTGTTTCACCCATCGGATCATTTTACGTGGTTCCAAGGCAACTACTGTTTTCCGCAAAGTCTCTTAACTACCGCAGGGTCCGCAGCTTCATCGCTGGTGGGAGAAGCTTCCAGCGTGCAGATAGCAGGAAGCTGATCTGTGTCGTTACATTCCACGGATCTCGAGATGAGATTGTGTTCACTTTGACTTGTCACAGGCACGGTGCGCCGCACACTCGCTCTTTTGCCAAATCTTTTACAACTCGTACAGAACGCCGCTGGTAGAAGAATCGAGAGGAGAAAACACTTGAAACCGTTTATAAAATGTCACTGGTTAATCATATGCTTGAGTACGATACAGTTTTCTATTGGTTCCAGGGGAAGCGTGGAATGTGAACGCGTGTTTGTGACACGTTCTGACCGCACGCACTTTCAAGAACTCCGTGTTCGAGTGCAGTCGTCAGCTTTGGTGACTGATTGCGCTGCACTCAGACTTTGGAGTGGACACGGTGCATCCACACACCCCGCCCCAACGCCTCTGTCCACCCAGCAATGTACACGGGGACAACCACAGTTCGTCTTTCAGCAGGTGTTGTGTGGTGGGGTAATGTGTGGGTACACCCACCTCTTCCAAGATATTTGGTCAGCGTGGAAGAGGAGACCGAAATATTATATAGAGGAGGCTCTCCAGAGGTTTCTCGAGTGGTGGCCTCATCCAGCAGCAGTGGAATGAGCAAGGCATTGCAGGACTGTCCATTTATCTGGCTACCCACAAGAGATCTCTCCCATACACGAACACGGATTGGGTAAGGGAAAGAGAAGGGCAATCATCCTCTCGTTTCTGTTGGGTTAGATTGTCGCGTAGGTATAATGTTGTAAACAATAACCTTCCACCACCCAACGGCGGGGCCAGTCGATTTGAGTTGTCACGTCACGAACGAATGTACCATTGATTTGGTTTATCAGCAAAACCAGTTATGGTGATAGGCCCAAGCAAAATCGAGAGAGTTTTGTCGGACATTTTGCTGGAGATGCCATCCAGCTTCGTCAGATGCCATCGGCAGCTCTGTTCTCGCGCGCCAACGCGGCACAACGTGTGGACTAATCTCAATATGTTCTATCCGTACAGGGCTGGAATGTCTCCCCCTTTACACAAGTGGGTTTTCTTTCCGGCGCTCCCATTCTTAAAATGTCTTAATATATAGAGGACCGCAGATCTTGGGCGAATTGATGGTGCCGGCTCACCACCCGCCGTGACTGCTGCTGCTGCTTTCCTGCTCGTTTGCCTCCGAGTCGTTTTATCTCTCCGAGAGCGAGCGTGGCGGGATGGCTGCGGAGTGACGTTACGAGAGTTGTAATTCCGGTCGTGATTGTCACGATGTCTGCCGTGGGCAGTGAAGCGTTTGATGGTAGCGAGTGCATATCTCCCCCCCCCCCGCCCCTCCCGTGGTGCAGGCCTGCTGACGTTTGTGAACTGTGCGTACGTGAAGCATGGCATCCGCGTGCAGGACCTCTCCACCTACGCCAAGGTCATCGCGCTCATCGCCGTCATCATCGCCGGCATCGTCTTTCTCTGCAAAGGTACGAAGTCACACCACTCACGATTAGCGCGCTCGGCTACGTGCAGTGTGAACCAAGTTCAACATAAATCTTATGTGCTCTCAATCGTCGACAATGTCTCGGTGATGTGCGCTTTTCGCGGTCGATCGTAATACCACGGGCGGCATCTCGATGCGGGCATCTTCAGTGCAGATTCTAATGACGATCCCCACAGCAGTCGTGGTGAAAGCTTGAAAGACAAAACGCTCAACACGCAGCCCAGCCAGGAAAGCTGCGCATGGATATTAAAGAGTCTTGTTCCCGTCTGGACCGTGTTCCGTTCCACGAGAGTTTCGCAAAACCGTGGCGACATCGCAGGGCCCCCCGCCGGACCCTGCGTCCGCCGATTGTGGTGACCGCTCCGTTGTCGTTGCTGCCCGCTGCATTCAGGAAAGACAGAAAACCTGGAGTCGTCATTCGAAGGCTCGAACTGGGACGTGGGGAACATGGCCCTGGCGCTCTACTCGGCGCTCTTCTCCTACTCGGGCTGGGACACGCTCAACTTCGTCACGGAGGAGATCAAAAACCCGGAGCGGTGAGGAGCCCTTGCCGGAGGCGCCGTCTGTCCCACGGAGCTTCCACCGAGATCGCGTCAGCTGCTCATGAAACGCGGTCGCCGGTGCAGATTATGGTGTCCGTGTTCTGTTTATTCTTGAGACGACTTGTGTCGAAGAGTCCGGCGTATGCGCGTAGAGTTGCTGAAGCTCGGCTTTGTTCGCACTTTTTCCCGCGTGCACCGCCAGCAGCACCACCCCTCCTTCTGGAACCTTCTCTCGGCCACTGCATTGTGAGCCAAACTCCCACCTCTTCTCCTTTAATTGCCCCAGCCAATCAAATGGCTGTTCCACCTGACCAAGCAGGATCGTCCCGGTACAGCGATCAGCGAATAGTTCTAAAATATAATTAAAAAATCTTAATTATGAATTTTTATAAAGCGTGGTCCATGCAAATTGCATCTCGCAATCGCTGAGGAGCCACAGACCGAGCTGGACGGCTGCCAGGCGATGAGCCGGTGCTACCAACGATTGTTTTGCAGTTCTTATATTGAGACAGAATCATGTAATATGATCGATAACGGATCGTATTTTGACCTTCCATACAGCAGCGTGAGTGTGATTATAAGAGACGGCTCACAGGGGTGTACAGCTGCCAGTTTGCTTTGCGTTGTTCATTCTGGGGGGAGCGAGTCTCAAAGTGTGGTTTGTCTTACCTGACAAGCACCTGTGCCTTACACCTGCACGAGATGTGCCGTCTTGTATCACCGAATCGCATCCAAAGAAGGGTGACGTCGATCACAAGCCCCACGAGTTTTCTCTGCACGCACTCTGCAGGAGAGACGAACCACTGAGGTCGCACGCCAGACGAAGCCTGCTCCCCCGTGCATCGCCGCCGCCGTAGCGCCGCTCGTTCGGACGGTCACGGATCGAATTCGGCAGCCGCCCCGAAGCTTAGCGCACGTGGATTAACCACGATAAGCGTACGCGCCATCTGCCTCATTCGCGGTGGATGTTAACGATCCCTTGACGTCATTCGCAAGAGAAGGCCATTGTGTGCCGGCGTCATGGTACAAAATTGCCAAATTCGAAAATGACACCGCAATTTAGCCCATTGGGACTTTATGCACCGCGGCAATCGCCACCCCCTTCTGGCAGCGGACCAATGCCCCGGGGGTCACTCAGCGAGTGAGAGTCACCCAGCCTCTCGAGTCCTCAGCTGGAAGTCCTCTGCTGGTTAAACAAAAATTACCTGGAAACGTGCTCGTAGGCGTCACACCGATTGCGTAACGGTGTCATCCATAGCGACGGCTTGGGGAGGCCTTCATGCAGCAGTGGATTGATCATGGCCGATGATGAATAGAATAGTTGTAACACTGTGGACGTAGTGCTGAATAACAAGAGGGTGGGGAGCACAGAGCTGCCCCGTGGGAAGCCTCGGGTGATCTGGTGATGTGGTGATGTGATGATGTGGTGATGTGGTGATCTGGTGATGTGGTGATCTGGTGATCAGGTGATTGCTGAGCTGCCTCGCCGCACGCTCTGTTGCAGGAATCTCCCTCTCTCCATCGGCATCTCCATGCCCGTCGTCACCGTCATCTACATCCTCACGAACGTGGCCTACTACACCGTGCTGGACCAGACAGCCATCCTGAACAGCGATGCTGTAGCCGTGGTGAGTGTCCACTTTGTAAGATTACATTTTCAGATAATTTTGATCATCAGGTCTCGAGGGATTTGATTCTGAATTGTTTTTAGATTGCATTGACACCCCGTTGATTGTCCACTATTTCACTCTGGATGATACGTTATCCCCCTATGTTATATTTGCTTCTGTCGGATGCCTGCGTTTTCCTCCTGGGGTCTCCTGGGACAGGTACACAATTGTAGTGAACAGTCTGCGAATATACATAACAAACATATACACAACACTGTTTGATTATATTAAATGAACGCACTTCTGAAACAGGCAAACAATTTTTGCGTCCGTTGCCCCCCCCCCCCTCTTCGATCAGGCTCAGTTGTTACAATCCAGATGTTGGGGGGTATTTATGAGTTCCCCCATTGTATTGTTTCCAGCCATAGCAAGTCCACGTGTGCTGTTGGTGCGCTCTGGTCGAGAGTCTCGTGCTTATTCCACGGCGCAGTCGACGGTGGACACTGCTCTGCGAGTGACGCCCCCGTGCGGTGTGTGTGCCTCGCCAGACGTTCGCGGACCAGGTGTTCGGCATCTTCAACTGGACCATCCCACTGGCCGTGGCACTCTCTTGCTTCGGGGGGCTCAACGCCTCGATCCTCGCCGCCTCCAGGTAGGGCACCGGTCGCACTGAGCAAGCGAAGCGACGCGGCCGGGATGTCAGGCACCTGCATCTCGGTGCGCGTCGTCGCGACGGAGCCAGCGTGAGGAGCTCCAGTCGCGTCGTCGCGACGGAGCCACCGTGCATGTTTACGGCGAGCCCCCCAAGTCGGCGACGATGCCTCGCGCACTGTTGCCGGATCCTCTCGTCCTATTGACCACTCTCAATTGCAGAAATTACTTCGACCGTCTGACTCCACTCATCTCCCCCCTCCTCCTCTCTCTCTTCGCCACCCGCATCCCTGCAGCTGCTGTACTCTCTTCCAGCGGGCGCTCTCTATAGAGGCGGAGATGTGAGGGGTGGAAATGTGAGGAGGGAGAGGTGGAGAATGTGAGGAGGGAGAGGAGGGAGATGTGAGGAGTGGTGTGGCTCTGTCACGTATCCGACTCGCAGCTCGTGTCTCTGCATCAGAACGCACATCCCAGTCAGAGAGTGATTGGCAGACGTGCGGGTGGGACTCAAGCGCTTAACGGTGCCTGCAGGGGGTCGCCTCGAGCTGGACACGTTGACCCCTGTAGCTGGAGACGTTGACCCCTGTAGCTGGACACTTTGACCCCGTGTCCATGGGAGGTGGACGCAGTGATGAGGCTCCTCTGCAGAGTGAAGCTCTCTACCGGTAGTGTCAATAGGGGACTCCGGCTCGACTCTTTCTGCCGGCAAGATCCGATTCAGCTGAGCAGCTCTGCTACCACGACGACCACCGCCCAATTCCATCGACAGCGGTGGCAGCTACAGGACATTACAGTTACAGAGATACATAGATGCTCACAGAGTTACACAGATACCCACAGAGTTACACAGATACTCACAGAGTGACAGATACCCACAGAGTGACATAGATACACATAGAGTTACACAGATACCCACAGAGTTACACAGATACCCACAGAGTTACACAGATACCCACAGAATTACATAGAGACTCATAGACTTAGAATCAGTCACGGAGTTGATTGCTTCAGCCGGTAAGGTTCATCGAGCTAAGCAGCTCTCTTACAAAGACCACCACAGCCCACGACTGTCGGTGCTGATGGCAGTTGCAGGACATTGCAGGTTGGGAATGTGTAAACTAGCGAGAGCAAATCCCAAAATCCGCGCCTCTCCGTAAATCAATGCAGATATCCGTGAGGTCGCCCCTAGGGAAGCACAGAACATTTACCGCCACTTCTGGTGACTCATCTGTGAATACGTGCGAGGAGGAAGCATTTTCCGCCACTTAGAGGCCGCTCCTGTTGTGTGTGAAAAGAAATGCAGATAATGGAAGAATCCATTAGTGCAAAGAAGTAATTTTAGCAAATCGGGGCCTGGGTTAGGCATGGGAATTGTGGGTAATTTGCGCTAAAGTCAGGTCCAGTATATTCACTTTCTCACAGCCGTCTGAGCGTGTCTGGCGCACGGCAAGAGTCTTTTCTAATTTGTATTTGCTGTGCTTCTTAACTTTTTATTTATTTAAACATAACGTGATCGTTTCCAAAAGAGGGTACAAGTTTGTCATCAGCCGGTGTGTATTTCACGTACTTGACTTTCCAGTGCACTAAGTTGAACACGACGTGTCGATGCTCTGTGAGCGTGTTCTCCATCGACAGGCAACTTAGATCTTCAATTGGCACCTTTATCAGATGGCAACTCTGCACTCCCTTGTTTTACAACTAAGTGCATAGGCAGGAAACTGCACCTCGTTTTTGACACAGACGTCCCACAAGCGCTTCGTTTGTATCCATAATAGAGGTTTTTTTGGGTTAGATTGCGTAAATATCAATTTGTCAGTTAGACCCACCCAACACGGCTGTTTAGTAAGGGTTGTCACGTAAACGAAACATGCCACTTAGGTGCAAGGTCAGCACACTGGTGTGTTGGAGAGTAAACCCACAACATTTACAATTCGAGTACGACGTTTTGCCAGTAATTACAACCAGCCTCATGCGGTGACAGCCAGAAATCCTCCTGTTTAGGTGTTAACTAGAGGGATACATGTGATGTCATCACTGCGAGACGATCAGTTTGTCATTTCTGACTTCACGGTGGTCGAGGCGTATATTACTCTGATCCCAAAATTGTGACCTATGGTATTTTTGTAATTGCCGCATTGGATGTGCATTTCTGTTTGTTTTCTACACCGCTGTTGACTCAGCCTGAGCACTATTGCGTCAGGAGTGTGATTGCGACCGCGGTCGACACTAAGAGGCGCTTGACGCGGTCGTGCTGCTGCTGCTGCTCTGCAGGCTGTTCTTCGTGGGCTCGCGCGAAGGACACTTGCCGGACGCCATCTGCCTGATCCACATGGAGCGCTACACGCCCGTGCCCGCCCTGCTCTTCAACGTGAGACCGTCTGAGATCCATTCCCACGGTTTTCATAGAGTGCACACGTACAGTGTTCATTTTCACTCACCTGGCATGAAATGCTATCTTAAAATGCATAATTCTAGAATGCCTCGGTATGTTTTTGTTTATAGGCCGAGTAGGCGCTGTTATTTGACTAGACGCTCTGCCGCCGGGCTACTCGGGCCAGGGCATCCAGCGAAGAGGCGGAGCGTGGGGGTCGGGCCTCTGCCTTGAATGATGAGACAAAGCCACCATAGCAGAACAATGCCACAGTGCGGAACACGAACCATAATGATCTAAGACAAGGGGACCGCTATGGATATGTTCAGGAAATGCTGGTGGTTTTTGCACAAGCACAAAGGCTGTGTGCTATTGGCAAATTACTCATTTGGGATCGCGCACAGCAGCGACATCGCTCCTTCTGACAAAACCTGGCAGGACCCTCCTGAAAAAGAGTCTTGAGACTCAGCGAGGCTTTCCTGGGTGAACCGGCAGAATCATAATCACAATGGAATACATCACGTGTAGCTAATTTCAACTGTACGCTTATCCGCTGCATCCATTTGTTCAACGAGAGACAAAGCAAGCATCCATATCGACCTGCTCACAAACAGGAGGTGTTTTAGAAAAAATTATGCATTTTTACCCATCCTATCCAGGTTTCAAAAGTATGGTTATCTGAACAACCCGCGCCAATTTGAACAGGAATAGCGAAGCTGCCCCACCCTGAACCACGTGTGCGCGCAGCCCCTGCGGTCGGCCTGGACGGCGCGACGTCTCGGACGCGGCCGCTCCGAGTCGAGCCTGACAGCACGCGTGGCTCTGCGTCCTTGTGTGTTGCTGCAGGGCATGATGTCTCTGATCTACCTGTGCGTGGAGGATATCTATCAGCTCATCAACTACTACAGCTTCAGCTACTGGTTCTTCGTGGGGCTCTCGATAGCCGGGCAGTTGTACCTGCGGTGGAAGGAGCCCAATCGACACCGGCCGCTGAAGGTACCCCTCACGCGGGAAACGCCGTGGCCTACCGCTCCATTCACCAATGCTCCAGTTGGGCCCCGCTACAGGACAAGCACACGATGGCCAAACATCCAAATGCTGAAAAGAATTGTCTGGAAATCACTCAATTGGGATTTCGCATAGCAGCAGTAACATCACCCCCCTACTGCTAAAACTTTGCAGGAACCTCCTGAAAAATAGTCTTAAGACCCGGTGAGGCTTTCCCAGGTAAACAAGTGAAATTATACATACGAATAAGGTTTTTCAAATAAATTATTTGACTTGAATCCAGAGGGCAGTCATACCGATGTAGAGAAAGCTTTACTAAAAAGTTGCGATCAAAAACACGCACGAATTAAGGTGTTAGTTTGAGTAATTTCCTAAATGCAGTAAAACACTGCTTACATAATACTGTGTGCACAGTGCGGAGAGATTACACTCTGTGTAGATGCGTCCCATTATTGACACTTTACACTGATAACGAATGACTGTTTGCCGGTGGAGATGTTAGTCATGTGACGGCTGCGTTTCCTAATCCGCGTGTGTGCTTGTTGTTGTTGTGGTTGTTGTTGGCAGCTGAGCATCATATTCCCCATCGTGTTCTGCTGCTGCACCGTGTTCCTCGTCGTACTCCCGCTCTACAGCGACACCGTCAACTCCCTGGTGGGCATCGCGATCGCCCTCACCGGCGTGCCCGTCTACTTCGTCACGATCCACCTGTCAGAGGAGAAACGGCCCAAGATCCTCCGCAAGATCACCGGTAATCAAGAGTGGACGCACCGCACGAGTGCCCTCCTTTAACGAGCTAAATTGGCAGCAATAGCAACAACAACTGCAATCGTTCTTATAATGTTTAGTTGGAAATATTTGGATCGTTTGTGCAATTTGCATCGTTCGTGAAAATTGCATCTGGCGGTTGCTGAGGAATGAGACGAGGTTGGAAGGCAGCAGCCAGGTTGTGAGCAGGTACCACCAACAATTTCCCAAGTTTTGCAGTCCCCGATTAATTAAGATGTTTTTCAGCCAATTAATAAACTATGAAATCGACGGTTATATCCACGGACCGATTGCCCGACAGCATAGTCCAAATCCCCTCATACATTGTGGAAATCGGTGAGTAATATGTTGGTGGTGATGATGATGATTGAAATGCATTTCCATGTAGCTTGAGTGGCATGTCCCAGGTGCCCAGGCGGGGCTGGCGCACGTCGTCTCACTCGCCGTGACGCGAGCCCCGGACACGCGGTTTGTGTCTGGGTCCAAACATTGAGCAGCCGATCGAATTAACAATATTCATTGGCTGCAGGTGACTTCTCTATAGTATTTGACATGAACACTGCCCTATATAGGTAAACATAATAGCCGACGATTAGGGCAATGGCCCTCTCTCTGCAATGGATTCAAAGCAGAAAGAGGAGCATTGCCAGAAATATCGCCTATTCTATACCTTTCCTTGTCAGGCAGCGTCATCCACGAGTGTGTTGAAGTTGTTGTTAATGCTGCTTGTGCACCACGACCAACGTAGCAGCAGCATCGCCAGTTAACTTGCCCAGCGTGCATAGGAATTGTTCCTGATTGTAGACAGTAGAGAGGCTCAATGATGAGTTACGTAATCCGGTACGAAGAAGAGACTAACACCATGTTCTGTTTCGTCCGCAGATTTTATCATGAGATACACGCAGCTCATATGCAACTGTTGTCTCACGGAGCTTGACAAAGAGGCCGACAAGGAGTCTGAGCCCAAGTCGAGTTGAAGCTTCCCACGAGAGCGACCTCCGGACGCTCTGCCCTTCCTGCTCATCGGGCTCCCGGGAGAGGCCGTGCCAGCGGTGTGCACTGAGGATCCATTACAGCGCAGGCAGCCCCGGAGTTGAGGCACAGTCGTCACATTGTGCGAATCCCGAAGCAGACTTTGACAGTCTCTAATAACTGAAATGATACCATCAGCTGTGGCTGTCACGATTACATTGTATTCTTGTTATATTTGAGACAGTTTCGTTGTTGATTTTTTTTATGGTAATTATTATTTTTATATTTGGGTGAAACTACTGAATTTGATTGCACATTACTATTAACTCTGCTGAATGGGTACTTTGCTAACATTATTTACGTTAATTGTTGGCTGGTTAGGGGGGTCTAATGCCTCGCGAGAACACTGGGCTCCTGCCGTCAAATATGGGTTTTGACCTCCAGGTCATTCCGGTCCTCAGGTCTACTGAGCAGTCTGGTAGGCAGTGGACTGAAAGATCAACCCATCTTATTAAACTTTTGCTATTTCTCTGAATCCACCTAATTCCAGCACTGAGGTTTACGGTGTGGGTGTGAGTGACACGTGACGAACACTTCCTGTAGAGAGTGCGCGCCCGAGTGTGGATTACAAGGCCTGCACAAGTGACACTTTAAGGGACATCGACACAGGGTGGTGTACTACTGGCTGCAGCGATTCCTCGTGAGAATGTCTCTGTCTCTCACTTGACGCTGGAATATATGCGGAGCGTGAGAGAATAAACAAACCTCACTGGACTTGAGATCGTAATGCGAGCACTACAGTTGGCCCTTTTAGCGTTGCCACACAAATCTAAATAATGGCGGCAACGAACGTTGGGGATCCTTTCCCGGTCAGAAACGCGACGTTTGTGCCATAACAGTTCCTGAACCCCTCCTGGAAGTGCCTTATAATCCAGACAAGATACAACACACTTCTGAATAGGTTCGTTTTTAAGCAATGTCCATTTGATATTTTCATAAACGATCTTTGTTGCTGGCATGAGACATTGGACTAGTAGCGGCATGCCGTATGGCGAACGTGCAATGATAAACCCTGACCTTGATTGTGGCTGTGGTGGATTGTGATTGTTTGCGACCACGTTCCGTCAGTTGTATTAGTCTCCTCGCATTTCAACTCATTGTCCATTCAAATAAAAATAGTTTTCATGTAAGCTTTATCCTTTAGACACCACAGTCTATTTCCACGGCTAGTTTTGAATGCATAGTTGTTTCACACAATAATAAATTAATATATATGTGTGTGCTATTGAATATATGCATCGTATATAGGTATCGTGAAGGTAAATTAGCCCATGTGGCCACGTTCAATGTGGGCTGCCACCCCCGCTCCAGCCGGCAAAACTTTTTGCAAATGTTACGAAGCTGGTGTTGTTGTCTCAAATTGATTCGAACTTGGTTTTATTTTGCACTTTTTATTAATTTTCTTGACTTGTTAATAAAAGTACACAAACCCTTCTTTTGGGTGGGTTTTTGTTTTACTTTACAGGAGTTTACACACACGTGCGTGTGTGGGGTGTGTACGTGCGTGTGGGGTGTGTACGTGCGTGTGGGGTGTGTACGTGCGTGTGGGGTGTGTGTACGTGCGTGTGGGGGTGTGTACGTGTGTGTGGGGTGTGTGTACGTGCGTGTGGGGGTGTGTGTACGTGCGTGTGGGGGTGTGTACGTGCGTGTGGGGTGTGTACGTGCGTGTGGGGTGTGTACGTGCGTGTGGGTGTGTGTACGTGCGTGTAGGGTGTGTGGGTGTGTACGTGCGTGTGGGGGGTGTGTGTACGTGCGTGTGGGGTGTGTACGTGCGTGTGGGGTGTGCACGTGCGTGTGGGTGTGTGTACGTGCGTGTGGGGTGTGTACGTGTGGGTGTGTACGTGCGTGTGGGGGGTGTGTGTACGTGCGTGTGGGGTGTGTACGCGCGTGTGGGTGTGTGTACGTGCGTGTGTGGGGGTGTGTGTACGTGCATGTGGGGGGGGTGTACGTGCGTGTGGGGTGTGTGTACGTGCGTGTGGGGTGTGTGTACGTGCGTGTGGGGGGGGGTGTGTACGTGTGGGGGTGTGTACGTGCGTGTGGGGTGTGTGTACGTGCGTGTGGGGGGGTGTGTACGTGCGTGTGGGGGTGTGTACGTGCATGTGGGGGTGTGTACGTGCATGTGGGGGGGGGGTGTGTACGTGCGTGTGGGGGTGTGTACGTGCATGTGGGGGGGGGGGTGTACGTGTGTGTGGGGTGTGTGTACGTGCGTGTGGGGTGTGTACGTGGGTGTGGGGGGTGTGTGTACGTGTGTGTGGGGGGTGTGTGTACGTGTGTGTGGGGTGTGTACGTGGGTGTGGGGGGTGTGTGTACGTGTGTGTGGGGTGTGTACGTGCGTGTGGGGGGTGTGTGTACGTGTGTGTGGGGTGTGTACGTGGGTGTGGGGGGTGTGTGTACGTGTGTGTGGGGTGTGTACGTGCGTGTGGGGGGTGTGTGTACGTGTGTGTGGGGTGTGTACGTGGGTGTGAGGGGTGTGTACGTGCGTGTGGGGGGTGTGTACGTGCGTGTGGGGGGTGTGGTGTAGTGGATAGCGCTACGCTGCGCGATGAACCCGGTGATCCGGGTTCAATTCCCGCTCACGGCCAACCCCAGTGATGAATATCTGAACCGGTCCTGGGCCTCCACTAGGTCGACTCAGCCTGAAATGAGTACCAGGTGCGGTGTGAAAACATCGCCACTGGGGAGACAAAGGCGGTCGGGCGTGGTGCTGGCCACCCACCCCCTCGTGTACCGTTCTGGCCTTCAAAAGTGCTTGCGCTAACAGCACTTGCCCCTACAGTCTGTTAGGGCTATACGGAGAATCTTTGTCTTTTTTGTGTGGGTGTAAACACGCCCAAGTTGCAGCCTTAAAATCATCCTGTATCCAGACGTCACTCAACTCTGCACCTCGAGAGATGACCCCGACTGTCACCCGCACGGTCAGACTGGCTCGTGTCTACCGCCGGTCACCGGGGTTCCATTCAAGAGGCCGTGACAAGCCGCGGTACGGCAGCAGGCAGCCGCCAGCCTCTACCCCGGCCCTCTCAACTCCCTCGGTCGAACATGCGGAGTTGAGCGAACGGCCCCCGCCGGCGAATTCCCAGAGCACCGGAGCCCACCGAGTCTGTGGATCGGCGAGCTCGAGGCCGCTTGAGAACAGAAGACGCGCATTCAACATGTTACGCACAGTGCACCACTGTGATTGACAACTCGTAGTGATTCGTGTGTGAAGTATCTGCGGCACGTGATCTCGCCGTTGGAGGATGGTCACCAGCGCGTGTTATTTCAATGCATCTGCCGTGTTCAGTTCGAGAATGGCTGGCGGTCCCACCTCGGGAGCACACACCCAACCCTGCTGGGAAAATACGAATCGTGCGTTTCGCACAAAGACCAACTTGTGGGGCAGCATTGGAGCGGTGGGATTCCATGAGGCGTTTGTGCCGTTTAATCAACATATCAAAAGCTCACCCCCATTGTTATTTATGAGCCTGACATATCATCCGCTATGCCTCTAGCCTCACGGGCAGTGGCGGAGTCCACGTTTCAAACTTATCGGCATCGCATTCCGACTCTCCCGGGGCCAGGTAGTAAATGAGCGCATGCCTCTGAGAACAGCCACGCACGCATTGCCCATCACGGGACGTAAGAACGGCTCGAGATCACGTCGAGGCCTGCTGTTGGCCACGACGAGAGGGCTTCAGGAGAGAGAGAGAGAGAGTCGGCCTCGTGTTGCTGTTCCTCCCGTTGAAGGAGCGCAGACGACAATAGCTCACTGTTTCATGTCACCTTAACATGTTTCACGTCACCGTAGCATGTTTCTTGTCACCTTAGCATGTTTCTTGTCACCTTAACATGTTTCATGTCACCTTAGCATGTTTCATGTCACCTTAGCATGTTTCATGTTACCTTAACATGTTTCTTGTCACCTTAACATGTTTCATGTCACCTTAGCATGTTTCTTGTCACCATAGCATGTTTCATGTGTGTGACACATACTTGCATGCCGATGACACTTTTCTTATCGAGATGGTGACTGCATTTACCAGTAATATTTTATTTTATTTTTAATTTAAAAAATGGGTTTATTTAGGAGTAATACTTTATGATTCGTGAATGGTTTGTCTGGTACTCATTAGCCACTGTGATGTCACTATTCATCGGTGTATTTAAAAACTGATTAGAAACATGTAATTTCCATCAGGCCCCAGACTCCAGCCCTTGTTTACTTTGTCTCTCTCTGGTCACGTGCCATGAGGAAGGGCCATTGCCCAAACCGTCACCCATTATCTTATTTACGTTTCATGTCAAGGTCACACAGTGGCATTGGCGAATGTTTTGAGTTTCTTCTCGACCAAAGTGTTCCTCTGCTGCTCCACGTCAGGCGGGTTTCGTCGCTACTGGGATCTATGGATTCCGCGTGGTAGCTTCCCTGCACTCGCACCAGCAAATAGCAACATCGAGCATACCGGGTACTCTCTGTGTGATAGGGTGCCACTCGATGTGCTGCATCGGGAAAAGCGAACTTTCAGTTGATATAAAAGTCAGCAGCCGAGAATCCCGCTCCGCTCTGTCCCTGGCCACATGCTGCTCGGGACCCCCCCTCCTCCTCCTCGTCTCCGCCTCTACCGTGGACACTCAATGCGACACCGTTCTCAACTCCGTCGAGCACCCGGTACATTTAACACGGAGGCTTTCGCGACCAATATCATCCATAACACAGGATTTATGGATTAAATCGCGTAAATATATAAATGTGTCGTTAAACACACCACCACCCACAAATCTGGCTGCCGTCTGATGAAGCTAGTTGTAATTACTGGCGAAACGTCGTTCTCAGATTGTAAATGTTGTGGCTTGGCTCTCCAACACACCGGTTAGGGCTGTACGAGTGACGAATTGGCCACGTTCTGTTACGTGACAACCCTTCCTAGTTGGCTGTGTCGGGTGGTGGCGGGTTTAACGACAGTAATTATATTTACGCGATCTAACCCAAAAAAACCTGCACCCGGCAAATTGAGGGGTTCTCTCTAAGCTCGCAGCAGCTTAAGTTTAGCAGCAAACGAATACAATCAAGACGCGTGACCTTCACAATAACAAAACGCGAATGTTGAGTGGCACCCTAATCTGCAATAGTAGCTCTGAAGAAAGAGGCCACGCTGATGAAACTAAACATTTAGATTTCGGGGCTGTGGGAGGAGAGGAGCCGTGCGTGGACGTCTGCTGCGGCACAATGGGCGCGTTGTCCACGGCCCGGAGTCGGGAAGGGGGAGGGAGGGGAGCGATGGGGTCCAGGTGAGAAGACCCGAGGCTGATGGAGCAGAGCAGCTGAACGCGAGCACCGGGAGAGGACGTGCGCTCGCTCCGGGCCCAGGGGCCTCTCTCCCTCCCTCCCTCCACCATGACGCGGACGCCGAGGTAGGGCGGTGAGGTGCGGCGGCGCCCCGGGCACTGCTCGGAGTCGCCGTGCGGTGCCGCGGCACCCAGGGGGTCACTACGAGCGGTCAGCAGCAGGAGGATGAGTTAGAAAGCCATCGTGCCAAGGGGCAAAGCCAAGCGTGATCTTTGGCCCTCCCTCTGCTGATGAGACCATGAATGTCGAAACTGTTTCAGAAGCTCATGGCTCGTGTCTGTGGAACCAACGATTCTGAAAATGATGCGTTCACAGAAGGGCATGTGGCTGATGTGATGTGTAAAATTTACTTTTTATTTGGAGGGATAGGCATGGCAAGGGGTCAAACTGTCTGACTATGTATTAAGTTACTCGTACTGTATTCTCCTGCATGACGCTGACGATTATCTTGTGTTAAGTATCTGAATCTTCTTGGTTATTTCGGTAAAGTCACGTAGAAGGAAAGTAATAAATAATAAAAATAAAACATGATAAAATAATTCTCACGACGTTTCGGCCACAACACAGCGTCTCCCCGACAGACCTGGTCTTCACCTGAGGACGGCTGCTTGCGTTGTGGCCGAAACGTCGTGAGAATTATTTTATTATGTTTTATTTTTATTATTTTATTATTTCCATTCTATGTGACTTTACCGAAAGAACCAAGAAGATGAATCCCCTGCAGTCACGAAAGATTTAAATCGAAATTTAACCCGATCCATGTTCTTCGTTCTCGGAGATTGAATTTAGCAAAATGACGTGCAAAGCCAAAGTTAACCGTGATGTTTTATGTACGTGCGGTTATCTGTGACTATGTTGAGACCACCAACGTCCTTGCACATCATGTCTAGGTTGGCAAAGGATCCAAGGCTGCCCAGGGACTTGTTGCGCATCTTGGTGGTGTGCGTTCACATCACGCGCCAAGGTAGAGTGTGACCTCTCGCGCGACTCTGCGTGGTGGGGGAGAGGAGGATGGGGGCCTCCAAGACATCCATTGCTTGGCTCGCGATCATTTATGTGAACCATTTCTAGTCGTGTGATAGGAGGCTAACGGAATCTGTAATCATTCACACATGTTGGTTTCTCGCTGCATTGCGGCGTTTGCCTGAAAATAAGCAGCAGCGGAACAGGAGTAAGGCGAACAGGTCGCCTCTCCCCGGGGTTATTGACAACTCAAGTCAGAAATGTATTGTCATGAAAGCTGCATTGTAGAAGTCAAGGCGTCGAGTGTGAACCACCCAAATTAGCCGTGACCGTGAAGCAGTGCGGCGTAGGCCCCGTTCCGGGTTGACACCCGGGTGCTGTGACCTGTGCGTTGGCTGCAGGGGCCGGCGTTGCTGATGGGGACTTCTACCCGTTCGGGCTGGAAGCAGGAGACAAGGAGACCCCCAAGTCCGACGATGGCGGCTCTCCAGAAATCCATCTCTCATCGCCCTTCACGTACTTTGGCATCGTTTACCATTCCCTCTACGTACGTCTCTCACAAGGCATCCGTGCAAGACGGATTTTATTGATTTTGCCACTCTCAATATGTCCCCTTGTTTGTGTTCCGTCGAGCAAAGGACACGTCGAGCAAAACGCGAATATCGCGCCCAAGCCCCGTGAGCGACACCCGAGGCACGCACAGTCCACACGGATCCCTGAGAAACACACATTCACCTCGCCCTCTCTGGGTGTTCGGATTTTCGCTTGATCCCATGTTTTATATAAATTGTGTCAACCAGAATCCTCAAACTAAACTATGCACGTGACTGTTATGCAATGTGGATGTCGGCACTTCTCGACGGTCAGCGCACGGGACATTGCAATCCAGAGGTCGCTGGTTCAAGTCTCCCCGCGATGGCAAGCGAAACAATGAGGCGAGTTTCGTAAATTACCATCCACCACCCTAGGTCGACTCAGCCTTCAAATGACAAGCTAGCGAGGTGTGTAAACAAAATCAGCACTGGGGAGACACAGGGGAGCGAGGGGGCCGGAGCCCCCGGCCTGTCGAGGTGCTGCCCGCTGACGCGAGCACTTGCCCCATTAGCCCCTGAAGAGGTTGCACGGGGTGGATCTTTGTCTTTGTGCCTTCACTCGCACCGCAGGTGAACAACAACGGGATCGTGTCCTTCCGAGTCCCCGTGGGCCAGTTCACGCCGGAGGGCTTCCCCCTGAGCGACGGCCGCGCCTTCATCGCCCCGTATTGGGCCGACGTCCACAACGCGCTGGCCGGCTCCGTGTCGTACCGCGAGGCCCTCCAGGGGCCCCTGCTAGCCCGGGCGGCCGCCGACATCCAGCGCGGCTACGGCTCCCGCTCCCGGCAGCCCCTCGCCTGGGGGTTCGTCGCGACCTGGAGCAACGTCACCTTCTATGGCGGCAGCGAGAGGACGCCTGTGAGAGTACACACGGGACACCTGTGAGAGTACACACGGGACAGGACACCTGTGGGAGTACACACGGGACACCTGTGGGAGTACACACGGGACACCTGTGAGAGTACACACGGGACAGGACACCTGTGGGTGTACACATGGGGCACCTGTGGGAGTACACACGGGACAGGGCACCTGTGAGAGTACACACGGGACACCTGTGAGAGTACACACGGGACAGGACACCTGTGGGAGTACACATGGGGCACCTGTGGGAGTACACACGGGACACCTGTGAGAGTACACACGGGACACCTGTGGGAGTACACACGGGACACCTGTGGGAGTACACACGGGACAGGACACCTGTGGGAGTACACACGGGGCACCTGTGGGAGTACACACGGGACAGGACACCTGTGAGAGTACACACGGGACACCTGTGGGAGTACACACGGGACACCTGTGGGAGTACACACGGGACACCAGTGAGAGTACACACGGGACAGGACACCTGTGAGAGTACACACGGGACACTGTGAGAGTACACACGGGACACCTGTGGGAGTACACACGGGGCACCTGTGGGAGTACACACGGCAGAGGGCACTGTGAGAGTACACACGGGACACCTGTGAGAGTACACACGGGACACCTGTGGGAGTACACACGGGACACCTGTGGAAGTACACACGGGACAGGACACCTGTGGGAGTACACACGGGACACCTGTGGGAGTACACACGGGACAGGGCACCTGTGAGAGTACACACGGGACACCTGTGAGAGTACACACGGGACACCTGTGAGAGTACACACGGGACACCTGTGGGAGTACACACGGGACACCTGTGGGAGTACACACGGCAGAGGGCTCCTGTGAGAGTACACACGGGAGTGGTCACGTGGTCACCCCAACTGCCCCCTCCCGCCACCTGAGAGAAGCGGGAGCCGGGGCCGCGTGGGCCCCGCCGGGGGTGACCGTGGCCTGCCGCACGCCAGCGGCTCAGCCCGTGTGCCATTCTCTGCAGATTAACTCCTTCCAGCTGCTGCTGGCCTCCAATGGCAACGTGTCGTTCGTGATGTTTAATTACGGGGACATCACTTGGACGACCGGAACGGCGAGCGGAGGGGACGCGCTGACCGGGCTGGGAGGAAAGCACGCGCAGGTATGGAGCCGACGCGCTCCACGTGCCCCCCCCCCCCGCGGTCAGGTCACCACGCCGCTGGCTCTCTCGACGCGGAGCACTTAGCGGCATCGCCGCCCTCACGTTGCATGGGTCACCCGCGGTTCATCAAGTCTCGTCCCAAATGGCCAAAACTGGCACGTGAAACAGGTGCATGACCCGACTGACACTCATCGCAGCTTCCCCGAACAATCAGAGGGCATTCCTCTTGACACTGCCATTGCTGCCCTACTCAGCCATCCTCAGCGTGGCCGCGCTCCAGCCTTCGGATCCGGTTGGCCGCCGGACTGTTGTCCGCACGGCGCCCAGACTCTGGAGCTCCCCGCTCCTTGGAGATCAGAAACTCGCAGTCGATGGAGACTTCTAAGTCCCAGTTGAAGACCCCACCAGCTGTTTAAACCAGCCTCTCTCTCTCTCTCTCGTTCCCAATCTTTAGTCGTTCTCTCCCCGGTTACCTCTTCCGAATATTCCTTCTTGACACGCACGCCTCTCTGACATCCGTTGTTTATTGTTGTTGTTGTTGATGTTGTTGTTGTTACTGTTCACGTATCCAGGCCGGATTCAACAGTGGCGATGAGGGCCGATACTTCACTCTTCCCGGCTCCCGGACTTCCGACATCGTTCACGTGCAAAACACGAGCAACGTGAACAAGCCGGGGCGATGGATCTTCCGTGTCGACGGGCTGGAAGTGGACCCAGCGAATGGATGCAATGTAAATGGTATGGTAAGAGGTTTTTAAAAGTATCATATTATGAGCGAGTTAATGCATCGCAATGTCATTACAATATGGTGACGTGGCCAAGCCAACGCACGCTTGCCGCGTGCCGCAGAGATTCGCGGTTCCAACCCATCGGCCGCCCTGGGTAGTACTACCATGTTATGTCTCACCCAGTCTGAGAGGAGACGACGGTTGCTTCTGGCAGCTCAAGAGTGCGAGGAGCCATTGTGATTGTCGCCGGTGCAATAACTGCAGGCGAAAGAGCATTGCACCACTATTCACTACTCCCCCTGTACAACTTCCACGCCATGTAGGTTCAACTAAACAGCACTTTTACGCCGCGTCTGTGCCTTTTTAATCAGTTACTATTTGAAGGCCACACGCTGTTATTGATGTTTAGTGTCTCTGTGACCCCGCAGGGTGACAGCTTGTCCAGGCCTCACGCGCGCCCTGTCTCACGACTCGAGAGCTTCGCTTCAAGCGAAGAAGCGTCACCTCACGCGCAACGACTGTAAACGGCCGCTACCCTCACGGTGGGGTCGTAAGCCTTTGCTTTCCACGTGCATTTGTATTTTCACATTGATGTCTTACGCAGGTCAATTCCACAGATACGGAGAGATGTTTTGGACGGACGAGGCCTGTTCCACCAAATGCAGCTGCCTCGACAGCTTCGACGCCCTCGCCCCGGACTCGGTGGCGTGCGTCCAGGAAGCCTGCGGCGCGCACGAGGCGTGCGCGCCCGGGCCTGGGGCGGCCGCCTTCTCGTGCCGCGCCACCTTCACCGCCGCCTGCGCCTTCTTCTCGGGCGCGCACGCGCGCACCTTCGACGGCGCGCTGCTGCGGACCGGCGGCCGCAGCGACTGCAGCCACGCGCTCGTGCGCCTGTGCGACGAGGAGCAGCAGGACGAGGCGTTCAGCGTGGAGGTCGTCACCCAGAGAGGGGGGCGAGGGCGGGCGCTGTCCGACATCACCCGCCTCACCGTCGTCGCGTCCGCCCTGCGCATCGCGCTGAGCGCGGGGAACAGCGCTCACGTCAGGGTAACTCACGTCAGAGTAACTCGCGTCAGAGTAACTCGCGTCAGGGTAACTCGCGTCAGAGTAACTCGCGTCAGGGTAACTCGCGTCAGGGTAACTCGCGTCAGAGTAACTCGCGTCAGGGTAACTCGCGTCAGAGTAACTCGCGTCAGGGTAACTCGCGTCAGGGTAACTCGCGTCAGAGTAACTCACGTCAGGGTAACTCGCGTCAGGGTAACTCACGTCAGGGTAACTCACGTCAGGGTAACTCACGTCAGGGTAACTCACGTCAGAGTAACTCACGTCAGGGTAACTCACGTCAGGGTAACCCGCATCTTTACTTCTCCTTAAAACGCTCGCGTGAAAGGGGCAGAGCGGCTGTTTTAGTTTGCCGTTGCTGTTTATTCGTTTTACGTCAAAAACGCTTCTCTGCATCTCAATAAATGGGTCCTGTTTGCAGATGTTTGGCCAGTTCCTCAGGAGTATTGCCTGTGGGTAGAATGCGACCGGATGCCCGGAGACCCCCACACACACGAGGGGAGAACTTCCAAACGTCGCCGGAGACGGCGGCGGAGTCGTTCAGCGGCTCCACAGACGGCAGATTTCCCCCCGACAGCTGCGCGCATTTCATTGAATTGTCATGAATGTTTCTGCTTTACTGGTATTCAAGAGAATGGATTGCTCAACCCGCAATGGGATGTAATTTCTAACAGCCACCTTGTTCGTTAAGACGAGATTACAATTCACGCGAAATGTTTACTACCTCGCCTGGTACGCAGGAGGTCGTGTGTTAGATCAAGACCCTGACGCCTGCTGCTTTACATTTGCAGTTTGCGAGTTCTCTCTCCCCGTGGTCGTGTGGATTTTTCTCTGGGTCCTCTGGCTTTTCCCTCCACACTTCGAAACATACGTTCAGTGTACGTGACTGATATAGATTCTCACGTCATAAGCCACTTTGTCGAGCTATCATTTGTGGCCAGGTCGCTTCTGAAAAAGAGCTCACGGCTCAGTGGACATTAGCTGGTAAGTAAAAGTGGTTGAGTTTCGACTCTAACACCGCCCCGCGCTTCGTTAGGTGAACGGGGCGGTGCGCTCGCTGCCAGCGCTGCTCGACAACGGCACCGTGCACGTCTACCCCAGTGGCTTCGGCACCGCTTTAGACACCAGCTTCGGCCTGAAGCTCTCCTTCGTCTCAAACCACCTCGTCTTCGTATCGCTGCCTGGCCGATTCTTTAACAAGACCTGCGGAATGTGTGGAAACTTCAACAACGACACTGCCGACGATTTCCCGAGGGCGGAATTGAATTTGACCGCGGAGAGCGAGAGGCGATGCGCCGCGCCCTGCACCGGCAACTGCTGCGACTGCAGCAGCGAGAGCCACAAGCGGCTCCCGAAGCAGCAGACCTGCGGGACACTGAACCGCACATCGGGCCCCTTCGTCGACTGCCACGCGGCGGTGGAGCCCGGCCCGTTCGTGACGAGCTGCCTGCTGGACGCCTGCCTCGCGGCGGGCGGCAACGGCTCTCGGGGGGGGCAGCAGCAGGAGGAGGAGCAGCAGCGCCGGGCGGTGTGCCGCGTGCTCGAGGCGTACGCTCTGCTGTGCCAGGCGCTGGGCGCCAGCCTCCAGCCCTGGCGCGTCCACACGCCGTGCGGTGAGAACGGCACCCCGACCCTCCCCGGAATCCCTGAGTCAGTGAGTCGTCCTTTCCCACGAGAGCGAGTGGACACCGTGTGGCACGTCACACGGCGAACTCGTTGCTGTGACGGGGGATGGTTTATTATGAAGCTGACACGAGGTCGACTGGAAGAGTCTTCCCGTGCGTAATGGGCGTCTCAGATCCCCGCATGTCCAACGCGTGTACACGGTGAGTGTGTCACCCTGGTGTGTACACTGTGAGTGTGTCACCCTGGTGTGTACACGGTGAGTGTGTCACCCTGGGGTGTACACTGAGTGTGTCATCCTGGTGTGTACACGGTGAGTGTGTCACCCTGGTGTGTACACTGTGAGTGTGTCACCCTGGTGTGTACACTGAGTGTGTCACCCTGGTGTGTACACTGTGAGTGTGTCACCCTGGTGTGTACACTGTGTGACACGCTGGTATGTACACTGTGAGTGTGACACGCTGGTGTGTACACGGTGAGTGTGACACGCTGGTGTATACACTGTGTCACCCTGGTGTGTACACTGTGAGTGTGTCACCCTGGTGTGTACACGGTGAGTGTGTCACCCTGGTGTGTACACTGAGTGTGACACGCTGGTGTGTACACGGTGAGTGTGTCACCCTGGTGTGTACACTGAGTGTGTCACCCTGGTGTGTACACTGAGTGTGTCACCCTGGTGTGTCCACGCTGAGTGTGTCACCCTGTCGCCGCAGGCTCCGCGTGCCAGGAGCGCGGCGTCTACGCTCTGTGCGGCAGCGCTTGCTCCGACTCGTGCGGCGACCGGACCGCCGCGGCGCGCTGCGCTGGTCCGTGCCGCGAGTCGTGCCGATGCCCCCGGGGCTCCGTGCTGGCCGAGGGCCGCTGCGCCGACGCCCTCGAGGCGTGCGGCTGCGTGCACCGAGGCCTCTACTTCCCCGTTGGCCAGGTTGGTTGTGCGCTGCGTGGGGGGGGGGGGGATAGCCGAACCCGTCCTGGGTCGCTGCCCCGACTTGAATCTTTGTTTGTCTGAAGGGGGAATAATCGGGAGCGAAATTGCGACGATGAGTTTGTGCTTCTATTCCAGAGTCTTCCGCAGGACGGGGAATGTAGCCGCAGGTGCACCTGCGGCTCCGGCGGGGAGGTGCGGTGCCAGGAGCTTCAGCGGTGTGCGCGCGAGGACGCCTGCCACGCGGACGCCGCCTCGGCGTGCACCCTGAGGCCCGACTGGACTATTGCCACATTCGATGACGCTTTGCTGAGGCTCCCCAAATATTCCGGCTTCGTGCTGACGAGGCTGTGTGATTATTCAACGCGTCCAGATCAAAATATGGATTTTCAAATCGTCATCAGTGGAAGAAACCAGCCTTCGGACCAACAAAATACCATCAGCGTTGACGTCAATATTTTGCACTATTCTCTCAATATAACACGCAGCAGAAGTGGGATCTTGGTGCAGGTACGTGGAATGTTCCTCACCACCACTGTCGAAGTTGTGGTGAGAGGCATTTGTCTTGGCACAGACACCTGGTATGCATCTCTACCGCTCCCCTCCACGACCACGCCACCAAAGCCACTTATCTGCCCATCCCTCCACAGTCCAGATGATCCAACATGCCACCGCCAGGCTTCTCATCCACACCCCGGTCCCCCGATCCCTCAACTGGTTCCTGTCCTGGAATCAACTTCAACTGTGCCTCGTCATAATCATCTGGAATGTACATCGCTGGCTCAAGATCATGAATCGCAGATGATTCATCAAGCCATGGTGTATCGAGTAGGGATAAGCATTGGCTGTATACAGAGAAACCCCTCCCGCTCTCCTCGTCCGCACCCCGTGACCCACGCCCACACATCGGTCCATGCAGGGTCGTCCACGTGCGGTGTCCCGGATGTGGTAAATAACAATCCTGATATCCGCAATTATCCGTGGATAAGAGGAGCAGCAGATCCTTGCAATTATTAACCAGGGTAGCGACGCAGCAAAGGGGAGCGTGCATCATTTGCATTGAGTGCGGATAATAGGATCCAGCAATGGGGACCTCCACCCCACCGCGGATAGGAGGAGGTGTCTCTGTTCATGTCGAGAGGCTCCTCTCTGCGAACTCGGCTGTAAGGGTCAAGCACTGCGCACGCACGTCCACGCGCTCTCTAACGCGCTCTCCTCTCTCCTCTCTCTGTTGTTGCAGATGGACGGTTCCCCGGTATTGCTGCCTCTTAGTTTGGGCGGTGGGAGTTTCCAGCTGTACGAAATGGAGTCTGGCATGACCGTTTCGGCCACCAATGTGAAATTACAAATCACGTTTTCTGTCAGTGGCAACGTGGTGGTGTGCGCGGGGGAGAGGCTGCAGGGCCTGACGTGCGGATTGTGCGGCAACTTCAACGGCAATGCGAGCGACGACGCCTACACTCCTGATGGGGTTGTTGCCGATAACCTGGAGGAATTCGTCTTCAGTTGGAGGCGAGGCATCATAACCTGCACGGTACAGGCTGCGATCACATTTGGCGGATGTTGCAACCATGCATGGGTCTCTGTTTTGCATCCAACTCTTCTAATTGGTCTTGAACCTCCAATTTTCCCAGTGAAACTCACGTTATATTCATGCGTGCATATCAGATAAAGTGTGAATCAATTGCTATTTTGTTCTTAGAATTGGGTTGTTATAACACGGCAGTCGTTTTTGTTTCCGTGTCTAATTCTAATTGATCGAATTCATCTTCGTCGTATCGCTGATGTTGATGTAGAACAACAGCGAGAATTGTACATTGAGGGAGTTGGTGAGATAGCTCATTGCGTCAGAAGTAGAGGAGTGGTGAATTGCCGTGATGATGCTTCCTCCTTCGTATTTGTGAATCGGGCAGTGGGGCGTCATGTGCCCCATGGTTCTGTTCAGGGTGGTGACCACAGTCGCACGATGGATTTTTTTTGTAGCATTTTTCCATTTTGTGCATCAACTATCTGCATCAACTGCCATGGTTTGTGTGCGGATGCGGTTCAGGGGTAGTAGCCCAAAAGCTTCGCGGAAGATCTAAGCCACAAATCATCTGCGCCGTTGAGTCTTTCACGAGGAGGTGTTTGAGAATGGGGTTTTCCCTTTTTTCTGGCAACAAAACAGGTGTTAAGATGCTAAAACACCAAACTGAAACATTTTACAAGGAATCATGTCTGCGTTAACCACAATGCTTGTGGTAAAAATACAAACAAAAAACATGCTCTGATAATAAATGCAATGTCTTTGAAACGGATTGGTCCACACCAGAGACAGCTTTCTTTCGAGCCTCGTCTCAAACGGTGTTAGACCAGAGGACGCCAAAAGGCGTACACAGCACAAAGACAACGCACTGTCAGAGTAATGAGAGCTCGGGGTGATGTAGCTGCTCACCCCGAGCTCTCATTACTCTGATTTAGTTTTGTTGCCAGAAAACAGAAAACCTGTTCTCATATTTTGGTACTGGCAAAGGAGGTTCCATGATGATGAGGTGTTTGTTTTGATGTCTTGTGGACTCCATTTAGTTTCCCAAGCTTCAACATCATCAGGGTTGAAGATCAAATTCACTAAACCTGCAGTATTTCATTGAATCTCAATGGTCTGAGGCACCTCTAGTATCGTATGATCATAGCAGTGGTCACTGCAAAGCCTATCTCATTGTTATTTATTTATTCCACATTCGTGTCAGGATTTCTGCAAGGAGTTCAATGCCTCGTGTCTACTGGGCGATCAGCACGGGGAGCAGGCTTGCCTCGTTCTGCTGGGGACCTCCCACAACCCCTTCGCGGCGTGCCACAGCACCGTCGACCCACGCCCGTTCCACCAACGGTGCCTGCGGGCGGCCTGCCTGTCCCCGCGCCCGCAGGCCGGGGTGTGCCGTGCGATCGAGGCCTACGAGGTCGCGTGCGGCGGCATCGGCGTCCGTGCCGAGTCGTGGCGTAACGCCACGTTCTGCCGTGAGTCCTCGGGGCCCTCGCCGCAATGCGTGGCTGGAGAGATGAGTTCCCAGTTGTTCAATGGTTGTCACCTCAGGCTATTGAATAAGTGTGTGGCAGATAACAAGAAGATTACGAGTGATTCCATAAACTTGAGCTAACAACCTTCTGGACCGATATTATCCATCAGCATTGTTCAAGTGATAAAACTGGGGAAGTTTCGATCTTCTGGGTCTCATCAGCAGAGCCAGGCTTGTTAAACTAATGCTGCTGGTGATGTTGTTGGCAAGAGCTCTCCGCCTTCACGAAAGTGCAAACAGTTCCCCCATCTGGAATGTTAAGACCAACAATGGGTGAGAGAAGATTAAAATCTTTGCATGTCGATGTATCTTCACTATAGCAACATTTAAGAACGGCAGACCATTCACATTTATAGCGATCCAGTGTGACGATATTCCCTGCGATTATTGTGGCCCCTGTTTGCAGATGACAAACCACATTTGGATCAGATCAACGCGAGCAGCCCTCTCTCAGCGACCAGGATGCCGGAGTCTACGGTCGGAGAGGAGACCACGTCTGCTGCTGAAGTGGAGGTAAAGATGGAACGTGGTCTCCTGCCCGAGCGAGCGATGGATGGCACCCATCTTCTTTGGTGCAACCTCTAAGCACGAACAACCACTGTTGACATCCCACAGTCACACCCGTGATTCCCTATGGTCTCACTACCATGTATGTATGTAATGGATGCCGTTGGCCTGGGGAGAGAGTCTGTCTGACTCTGGTGATGACATCGTTACCCAGGGTTCCGCTGGCCTGCTGGAGCTGTCATGGGTCTCAGGGAGTCGCGTCTGCCTCTGGTTCATACAGAATGCCCAGGGGCCCCTGGACCAGTTCAGATGAGGCCTACTCGGGATGTTGCCAGCGTCCCATGTCCAGTAATGGTTATGGTTTAATTCTGTGACAATGTTAAGCCCAGATTTCGCAATTTTATTTCACCATTGCCCTGTGCGTTGACATATGAGGGACTGTCTCAACACCAGAGAACTTAGCCTCACTGTGATGCATGTCATGTATCCAGGAAATCCTCACCGACTCTGTAGGCTATTTTTCAGGAGGGTCCTGAAATTTCAATGTTTGGTCAATTCCACGAATGAGTGGGTAGCATGTGCGGGAGGATTCCAGAGAACCGGGAGGAAGCCACGCAAAGAGAGGATAACACTCCAAGCTCTCACAGATGGATGCCGTCCACTTGCTGTGCCTCCATCTTCTGGCTGCCTCACAGCCCGTTGGGTTTGACAGCTCCACAGATCATAATCCACAGGCATTCGCCTCCAAGGCGACGTACAACAGACGTGTGCCTCCACACCCAGCTCATGTCAAAATAGCAACGCTCACCGCCAATCCCGTTCCTCATACGTGGACTGTGTTAACATGCGTGCACGTGTTACATTCATGTCACTCTCCCGTCGTGTTCTGTTTACAGAGACCACCAGAACCAACAAACTTCATCATCACAGGTAACGGCACCTTTACACGACGAGCGTTTTCAACCACACCAATCGTTTCTCCACGTTTGTGCTCATTGGCATCGCTGCGTTTACTGAGACAACACCGTTCGCTTTTGTTCAATGATGGACAAAGGTAAATCGCCACGGTTTTTCTGCCCTCTTCACAAAGCAAATCGGCATGCATTTCGCTTTGGACTTTCGCCTCGTTTGACGCAACCCAGTGGTAGCGCGTTCTGCGTTTGTCGCAGCGGTTCACGGTTTGATACCAGTGGCCACCCTGGTTAATACTGCGGTGTGTAATAACCAAATTGAATACGCGCCATCTGTCTAACTCACAGTGGATGTTAAAGTTCCCCTGACGGCATTCGCCATTATGTAATTTTTCTAAATTAGAAAATTACACCACCATTTATTAATCCGGGATCACACACAGGAATAATCGCGACCCCGACTTGCAGACTAATACCAGGGTCACTCTTGTAAAAGAGGCTCCATCCTTGTCTCTTGAGTTCTCACCAGGTTACACAAAATAAACTGGAACATTTTACATTCGTTGAAAAATACAGGCCTTGAAGTCATTGTGATTTTACGGACCTAATGATTCCTCCCTCACACGATTCAGTCGTAATTCTAGTCAGTGATTATTTTCATCTTCTGGTAAATATAGCGGCACCTCGTGGCTTCAGAGGTCACGTGAACCCAGTACAGCGATGAGGCCGTGCACGGCGACACGCCCGGGGGTGAGTGACGCGCCGCTTTGCTGTGGAGCTCCCAGCTCGTGGGCCACTGGAGGTGCTGCGATGCTCCGCAATGTAAAACTAAATCTCCGATTCTTCACTTCAATTGTGAACCTTGAATCGTGACAATTCATCGAAGCGCGAGTGAGACGAAATCATCGCAGGCCTACGACAGGAATATTTGTCGGTGCCACACGAACGCGCGAACCAGCCGTGGTGTTTCTCTCGTGAGTCAAGCCTGGGGCAGGCTCCAAGCCACTAAGGTGACCAGGTTGATCCAAGCCACTAAAGTGACCAGGTTGCTCCAAGCCACTAAAGTGACCAGGTTGCTCCAAGCCACTAAAGTGACCAGGTTGCTCCAAGCCACTAAGCCACTAAGGTGGCCAGGCTTCTCCAAGCCACTAAAGTGACCAGGTTGCTCCAAGCCACTAAAGTGACCAGGTTGCTCCAGGCCACTAAAGTGACCAGGTTGCTCCAAGCCACTAAGGTGGCCAGGTTGCTCCAAGCCACTAAGGTGACCAGCTTGCTCCAAGCCACTAAAGTGACCAGGTTGCTCCAAGCCACTAAAGTGACCAGGTTGCTCCAAGCCACTAAGGTGGCCAGGTTGCTCCAAGCCACTAAGGTGACCAGGTTGCTCCAAGCCACTAAGGTGACCAGGTTGCTCCAAGCCACTAAGGTGACCAGGTTGCTCCAAGCCACTAAGGTGGCCAGGTTGCTCCAAGCCACTAAGGTGACCAGGTTGCTCCAAGCCACTAAGGTGACCAGGTTGCTCCTAGCCACTAAGGTGGCCAGGTTTCTCCAAGCCACTAAGGTGACCAGGTTGCTCCAAGCCACTAAGGTGACCAGGTTGCTCCAAGCCACTAAGGTGACCAGGTTGCTCTAAGCCACTAAGGTGACCAGGTTGCTCCAAGGCACTAAGGTGGCCAGGTTTCTCCAAGCCACTAAGGTGACCAGGTTGCTCCAAGCCACTAAGGTGACCAGGTTGCTCCAAGCCACTAAGGTGATCAGGTTGCTCCAAGCCACTAAGGTGACCAGGTTGCTCCAAGCCACTAAGGTGACCAGGTTGCTCCAAGCCACTAAGGTGACCAGGTTGCTCTAAGCCACTAAGGTGGCCAGGTTGCTCCAAGCCACTAAGGTGACCAGGTTGCTCCAAGCCACTAAGGTGACCAGGTTGCTTCAAGCCACTAAGGTGGCCAGGTTGCTCCAAGCCACTAAAGTTACCAGGTTGCTCTAAGCCACGAAAGTGACCAGGTTGCTCCAAGCCACTAAGGTGACCAGGTTGCTCCAAGCCACTAAAGTTACCAGTTTGCTCCAAGCCACTAAGGTGGCCAGGTTTCTCCAAGCCACTAAAGTGGCCAGGTTGCTCCAAGCCACTAAGGTGGCCAGGTTGCTCCAAGCCACTAAGGTGACCAGGTTGCTCCAAGCCACTAAGGTGACCAGGCTTCTCCAAGCCACTAAGGTGACCAGGTTGCTCCAAGCCACTAAGGTGACCAGGTTGCTCCAAGCCACTAAGGTGGCCAGGTTGCTCCAAGCCACTAAGGTGACCAGGTTTCTCCAAGCCACTAAGGTGACCAGGTTGCTCCAAGCCACTAAGGTGGCCAGGCTTCTCCAAGCCACTAAAGTGACCAGGTTGCTCCAAGCCACTAAGGTGGCCAGGTTGCTCCAAGTCACTAAGGTGACCAGGTTGCTCCAAGCCACTAAGGTGGCCAGGTTTCTCCAAGCCACTAAAGTGGCCAGGTTGCTCCAAGCCACTAAGGTGGCCAGGTTGCTCCAAGCCACTAAGGTGACCAGGTTGCTCCAAGCCACTAAGGTGACCAGGCTTCTCCAAGCCACTAAGGTGACCAGGTTGCTCCAAGCCACTAAGGTGACCAGGTTGCTCCAAGCCACTAAGGTGGCCAGGTTGCTCCAAGCCACTAAGGTGACCAGGTTGCTCCAAGCCACTAAGGTGGCCAGGTTGCTCCAAGCCACTAAGGTGACCAGGTTTCTCCAAGCCACTAAGGTGACCAGGTTGCTCCAAGCCACTAAGGTGACCAGGCTTCTCCAAGCCACTAAGGTGACCAGGTTGCTCCAAGCCACTAAGGTGACCAGGTTGCTCCAAGCCACTAAGGTGGCCAGGTTGCTCCAAGCCACTAAGGTGACCAGGTTTCTCCACGCCACTAAGGTGACCAGGTTGCTCCAAGCCACTAAGGTGGCCAGGCTTCTCCAAGCCACTAAGCTGACCAGGTTGCTCCAAGCCACTAAGGTGACCAGGTTGCTCCAAGCCACTAAGGTGGCCAGGTTGCTCCAAGCCACTAAGGTGACCAGGTTGCTCCAAGCCACTAAGGTGACCAGGTTGCTCCAAGCCACTAAGGTGACCAGGTTGCTCCAAGCCACTAAGGTGACCAGGTTGCTCCAAGCCACTAAGGTGGCCAGGTTGCTCCAAGCCACTAAGGTGACCAGGTTGCTCCAAGTCACTAAGGTGACCAGGTTGCTCCAAGCCACTAAGGTGGCCAGGTTTCTCCAAGCCACTAAAGTGGCCAGGTTGCTCCAAGCCACTAAGGTGGCCAGGTTGCTCCAAGCCACTAAGGTGGCCAGGTTGCTCCAAGCCACTAAGGTGACCAGGCTTCTCCAAGCCACTAAGGTGACCAGGCTTCTCCAAGCCACTAAGGTGACCAGGTTGCTCCAAGCCACTAAGGTGACCAGGTTGCTCCAAGCCACTAAGGTGGCCAGGTTGCTCCAAGCCACTAAGGTGACCAGGTTGCTCCAAGCCACTAAGGTGGCCAGGTTGCTCCAAGCCACTAAGGTGACCAGGTTTCTCCAAGCCACTAAGGTGACCAGGTTGCTCCAAGCCACTAAGGTGACCAGGCTTCTCCAAGCCACTAAGGTGACCAGGTTGCTCCAAGCCACTAAGGTGACCAGGTTGCTCCAAGCCACTAAGGTGGCCAGGTTGCTCCAAGCCACTAAGGTGACCAGGTTTCTCCAAGCCACTAAGGTGACCAGGTTGCTCCAAGCCACTAAGGTGGCCAGGCTTCTCCAAGCCACTAAGGTGACCAGGTTGCTCCAAGCCACTAAGGTGACCAGGTTGCTCCAAGCCACTAAGGTGGCCAGGTTGCTCCAAGCCACTAAGGTGACCAGGTTGCTCCAAGCCACTAAGGTGACCAGGTTGCTCCAAGCCACTAAGGTGACCAGGTTGCTCCAAGCCACTAAGGTGACCAGGTTGCTCCAAGCCACTAAGGTGGCCAGGTTGCTCCAAGCCACTAAGGTGACCAGGTTGCTCCAAGCCACTAAGGTGACCAGGTTGCTCCAAGCCACTAAGGTGACCAGGTTGCTCCAAGCCACTAAGGTGGCCAGGTTGCTCCAAGCCACTAAGGTGACCAGGTTGCTCCAAGCCACTAAGGTGACCAGGTTGCTCCAAGCCACTAAGGTGACCAGGTTGCTCCAAGCCACTAAGGTGACCAGGTTGCTCCAAGCCACTAAGGTGGCCAGGTTGCTCCAAGCCACTAAGGTGACCAGGTTGCTCCAAGCCACTAAGGTGACCAGGTTGCTCCAAGCCACTAAGGTGACCAGGTTGCTCCAAGCCACTAAGGTGGCCAGGTTGCTCCAAGCCACTAAGGTGGCCAGGTTGCTCCAAGCCACTAAGGTGACCAGGTTGCTCCAAGCCACTAAGGTGACCAGGTTGCTCCAAGCCACTAAGGTGGCCAGGTTGCTCCAAGCCACTAAGGTGGCCAGGTTGCTCCAAGCCACTAAGGTGACCAGGTTGCTCCAAGCCACTAAGGTGACCAGGTTGCTCCAAGCCACTAAGGTGGCCAGGTTGCTCCAAGCCACTAAGGTGGCCAGGTTGCTCCAAGCCACTAAGGTGACCAGGTTGCTCCAAGCCACTAAGGTGACCAGGTTGCTCCAAGCCACTAAGGTGGCCAGGTTGCTCCAAGCCACTAAGGTGGCCAGGTTGCTCCAAGCCACTAAGGTGACCAGGTTGCTCCAAGCCACTAAGGTGACCAGGTTGCTCCAAGCCACTAAGGTGACCAGGTTGCTCCAAGCCACTAAGGTGACCAGGTTGCTCCAAGCCACTAAGGTGGCCAGGTTGCTCCAAGCCACTAAGGTGACCAGGTTGCTCCAAGCCACTAAGGTGACCAGGTTGCTCCAAGCCACTAAGGTGGCCAGGTTGCTCCAAGCCACTAAGGTGGCCAGGTTGCTCCAAGCCACTAAGGTGACCAGGTTGCTCCAAGCCACTAAGGTGACCAGGTTGCTCCAAGCCACTAAGGTGGCCAGGTTGCTCCAAGCCACTAAGGTGGCCAGGTTGCTCCAAGCCACTAAGGTGACCAGGTTGCTCCAAGCCACTAAGGTGACCAGGTTGCTCCAAGCCACTAAGGTGGCCAGGTTGCTCCAAGCCACTAAGGTGGCCAGGTTGCTCCAAGCCACTAAGGTGACCAGGTTGCTCCAAGCCACTAAGGTGACCAGGTTGCTCCAAGCCACTAAGGTGGCCAGGTTGCTCCAAGCCACTAAGGTGGCCAGGTTGCTCCAAGCCACTAAGGTGACCAGGTTGGCCCAGTGGAGAGAAGCGTCCCCAGGTGACGCGAGTCCCCTCCTCGATCTCCTGCGAACGCAGCTCGCCTCACGCTGTCGCCCGCCTGCTCCTCGGCTGGCCACAGGCCCAGGTCCCTGGGTCGAGGAGATGTTCTCTCTCCCTTGCCTGGCACCCGGGAGGTTGTGGGTCCAATCCCGGACCCTGACGATGCCTGTTGTACATTTGGAGTATGTGGTGGTCACGTGGACATACAGAAGCACATGCTTTGATTATTTGGCCGCTACTATAAATCCCCACGTGTGATGATGATTTAATCCACTTTGATGGGTTGTGGTATGTGGCCAGGTCGCCTTTGAAAACGAGGTAATAGCTCGGGACTTTACCTGTTCAATAAAACAGAATAAAACCGGCACTTAACTCTTGGTTGGGTAGCTTCTATTGCTCACCAGAATAGTGTGGAAATTGCGAACGGCGTGTCGGTGTGTCTTGCTGGTGCATGTGCCGATGTCGTGTCCGGAGACTCGCTGCTGGTGGAGGTCTCGTGTTTCGCGTCGCACATGGAGGTGGTGCTGCCCAGGCTGGCGCTGTCGTGGCACGGCTACAGCGTGAAGGAGGTTCACCTCAACGACGAGCGGTGCACCCCACGCACCTCCCCCAGGGCGTTCAGGTGGCAGCTCGTCGCGTCGTACGGCGCCTGTGGAAACACCATGAGGGTAACAACATGTAAACCCTCACTCGTGCGGGACACTGCGCGTCGGGACGATGAACTGGCATACTTTTCTATATGATAAGCCACTTCGTTGAGTTATCATTTGTGGCCAGATCGCTTCTGAAAAAGAGCGAATAGCTCGAGTGGGCTTTGCCTGGTAAATAAGATGCATTCGTTAGTTTTATTGGAGCAGGAACAACGAGGACGTGTTTTACATCTCACCGAGGGATTTCGAGGTGTGCGCAGTCCCGTTGGTGGTGACCACGGAGCTGAGCGGTGGGCCGTGTTACCCTCCCTCGCCTTGCAGTCAAACACGACGCACGTGGCGTACGTCAACACCATCCGAATGCGCACGGCGAAACATGTCGAGGACGCGGTGGTGCGAGAGACGCTCGTCAATGTGGAGTTCGCCTGCGCGTACGAGCGCGACATCCGCGTGTCGCTGAACACCATCATACAGCCCATGACCAGGTGAGTCGCGCGGCCGCACGCCGTGGACACGTGGCCAGTAAGCGATGTCGTCGTTGTTGTCTTCGCCTGAGCGATGAAACCGACTGACTTGCGCTCGGTGTTGTGGTTTAGTCCTTAAGGGGGTACCGAACTGGGTCTCCCAGAACATTGTTGTATCGGCAGCGATGTCCATAAACACAACGCGTTGTGTAACAGGGGACGAGAGACGGCACTTGTTCAGGAGCTGTGGGCACGTAGAAATTCCACTTTGGCAGCATGCGAGATTTGGGGTATTTCTATGAAAGAGAATACACGTTCTTGTCATTACGCTTGTTTACCCGGGAAAGCCTCACTCAAGAGTCTCAAGACTCCTTTTAGGAGGGTCTTGCCGAGTTGTTGCAGTAGGGAGGCGATGGTGCTGCTCTGTGTAATCCCAACATTTTGTAATTTTCCGAGTAATGTTTTAGCATTGGGATGTTTTGGCCAATACCGTTAACATGTATGTTTTATTTTACAATGCACATTCCTATATATTTGTATATTATTTGAATATTAAAATCGGTACTGAATGACCTGTATTATAGATGTTTCCATTACAGCTGTTAGTGTGGAAGGCAGTTTTAAGATTTTGCCGAATCGTCACGGTTTTGCGTGGCAGATGTATGACTTTGAATGCACTTCTTTCGACAGTGTGATAAACATGACCCTGCCCGTTAAGAAGGGAACGTTCGTGGCCAGGATGTTGCTGTACGTCAACGCCAGCTACCGGTTCCCGCACGACGCCGGGGACCTGCTGCTGTCCACCCTGGACACCCTCTTCGTGGGGGTCGTCCTCAAAGACGAGGGCCTCCAGATATTTCCCGACAACGGTCGCACAAAAGCGCACTTGGTGCTCGTGCTCAACGAGTGCTGGGCCACGCCGGGGCCCAACCCTGCGGATGACACGCGGTACACCATCATCCACCACGGGTGAGCCGCACGCACCGTGCCCACGCCACAGACTTCTACCCCATTGCTCAAAGAAAACGACGTCCTCAGCCATGAAACAAATTGCATCTATAGCGTGCTTGCTTAAATGCACCTCAAAGCGCCTTACATCTCATCTCAACCATTTAAAGGGCAACCCCAGTGGCAGTTGTCCCTGTGCGGAAAACTGTGACTCAGCGCCGACCTGCAATTGAACATTGGTCCACGGGTCAGGAGCGATGGTTGCTGTGCAATTCCATTTCAGTATTTTGCAGCTAATTTTTTGTTTTACTTAGATCGTGGTGCCGGCACACAATGGCCTACACTATTCAAATGACGTCATGGGATCTTTATCCTCCGCATTGAAGCAGACAGCGAGTCGTATTTTTTATGGTTATTTCATGTGCAGTAATAACCAGGGAGGCCACTGAATTCAAACCTTGAACTGCTGCAACAAGCGACGAATGCACTGCCGTTGGACTGCGTCGCCGCCCCTATGATAATATTCGTGATCCACCAATCATAAACTTCCTTTCTGTTGATTTCACGCGCCCATTGCTCTTTATGCCATCTTCTATAATTGCGTGGCCATTGCTCGCTAGCTTCTGCTTTAGAGTTTTGTCATTGTGACGCTCGAGGGTGTAGCAAAAAAACACCTCGAGTGGTTTTATTTTGAAAGAGAAGTTCTGAACTGGGAACCATGGGAACACGTGGGGCCCCATTTCACGTCGCTATTCTCGCTGCCGCTCAAGCGCTGTTTACCAGAATGACGGCTGTTTTCGTGGAAAAAACCCATCATTCTACAATTCAGAGATGACGCATCCATCCTCCCCACCACTACCGCCACTCACAGCACAATTGCGGAATGGCCCAAAGCCCGCAGGTTAGGGCAGAGCTGTGGCAGAGCAGAGTGGTGAAATTGTCCACTTTTCTCACTCACTCCCCACCTCGATCTCACGCTTGTTCGCCCCCTCTTCCAACCCAGAATCCTTTGCGCAGCTGTGATGTCACTCGAGCAGGAGCCAGATATCTCATTTCCAATTCCTCTAGAAGCCTGGAACAACCCTCGTCGATCATGCACCGCACGCAAAAAAATGTAAACTGGTCATATTTCGAGTACAATAAACACGTGTGGCAGTAACGTGGTAAAATATCTTCACGTGGTGCTCGCATTCGCGTGCGTGGCACAGGTGCACCAACCCGCGGGACAGCACCGCGCAGGTGGAGGAGAACGCGGTGTCGCAGAAGTGCCGCTTCCACGTGAAGGTGTTCCGCTTCGTGGGGAACCAGACGGAGATCCACCTGCACTGTGACGTCTCGCTGTGCGACGCCATGGAGGCGGCGTGCACCGTGGTGAGCCGTGCGCTCGGGACGTGCGCCACAACGCGTGGCCATCATTGTCGCCTTCACTACAGTAGTTCTCATCGCAAGAAAGAGAACTTTTATTATGATTCGTGATAGATGTTTTGGGTCAGACCGCGGCACTATCGCGCGCGGTGGTCACCGTTACCTCCGCAGAATCAGAATCCGGTGAGGTATGAAGCTCGTATTCACGGATGTCCAGTGCGGGCACGGGGTCAGCAGAGGGAGTGGGCTCCCCAGGCCCCTCCCTCCCTCTGCCTACTCCACCGTCGAGCAGAGTGGCCGCAGCAGAAGCCGGATTGCCCTGGGCGGGTCGTGGAGACGACGCAGGGAGTCATACTCAGAAGACGACCATGCACAGAACTTGAACAAGGAGAGGGACATATTCTTGGTTCTTTCGGTAAAGGCACGTAGAAGGGAAATAATAAAATGATAAAACAACATTTTTTAAAATTGTTTTATATTTGTATTATTATAATAAAAAAAACTATAATTTTTTAAAATTGTTTATATTTTATTAGTTTATTATTTCCCTTCTACGTGACTTTACCGAAAGAACCAAGAATATGAATCCCTGCAGTCACGAAAGCTTTAAATCTAAATTTAAGGAGAGGGACGTTTGAGATAATGAATGTTGGTGTTCAATGTCGGTTTGCTTGCATGGGAGAGACGTCATCATGATTCTAAGATGTCTCAGTGAGGCATTCCCGGGTGAACGAGAGTAATGACAAGAGCTTGTTTTCTCCTTCATAGAAATGCCCCACATCTCGCACGCTGCCGAGGTGGCACTCCGATGTGCCCACAGTTCCTGAACAAGTGCTGTCGATTGGCCCTATACGGCGGAGAGGTAGGCACTGCTTACAGACTGCGTCATTTAAGCCCCTTTTGTTTATCATTAATTATGATGATGAATACCCTGTCGAATTAAACCTACATTCCACCACGTCGAGTACAGTGCGGTTCGAAGTAATGTTTTAATGTGGCGTATTCTGGTGTCAATGTAAACGTTGTTGTGTTTTCTCTTCTTCAACGGAGGTGCGAGCTCGCCAGGAGAGCGGCGTGGGCCTGACACAACTCTGCTGTGGAGTCTCTCTCTGCTGGCGCTCTGGTGAGTTGGAGACAAATCCACGATCGGAAAAGTCGTCGATGTGGCACGATTCGCGCGTCTGGCGACGTCCGCGACTTTGTCTCAGAGTGCCTCGGACTCAGCCGTTGGGAGAGAGCTTCGTCAAGTCCACAGGGGCACGATTTTAAAACCCTGCGCTGATTATATCCCTCGTCGCCCCCCTCGCAAGCTCCGCTTTCCTACCACGTGTCTACACTCATTCCTATCACGTGTCTACACTCATTCCTCCCACGTGTTTAAACTCATTTCTATCACGTGTCTACACTCATTCCTCCCACGTGTTTAAACTCATTTCTATCACGTGTCTACACTCATTCCTCCCACGTATCTACACTCATTCCTACCACGTGTTTACGCTCATTCCTGCCACGTGTTTACGCTCATTCCCCCCACGTATCTACACTCATTTCCTACCACGTGTCTACACTCATTCCTGCCACGTGTTTACGCTCATTCCCCCCACGTGTCTAAACTCATTCTACCACGTGTTTACACTCATTCCTACCACGTGTATAAACACTCATTAATTGTCTGAAAACACCTTAATATATAGAGGACCGTAGAGCTCAGGCAATTGTTGGCAGTGCCGGCTTATCGCCTGGCTGCCACCTTTCAGTTTGGTCTGTTCCTCAGCGATGTAATTTGCACGACCAACGACGCCGTATATAAATGAAACGCTGTTATGATTGCGAAGACGCACTCTACCCGACCCCCAATTCTCTGTAATTCACCCTCCGCCTCACCGTTCGCGCCATCACAGAATCGCGCCCCGTCCCCTCGCAGAGCCGTCGCTGCCCTGCGAGTGCCTCTGGGTGTTGGGGAAGTTGAAACGTTGTGCGATGTGAAAAGTCGCGTGACCACTGGCGCCACGTTTGGTTAAATGCTGGCTCTGTCGTCAGAGATAAGGCAGCAGACAGCGAATGACTCTGATGCCCAACTGCTGCCATGTCAGCCACAACAAGCGGGCTTCGTGAGTTCGAGTTTGCATCGTTTTGTGGTATAAAAATACAATGAGAAGAGTGCACAGACACACACACACTGCATCGACACAATGTAACTATATCAGCTCTGTGAGATTGTTTATGTGATAATTGTGCAGTTGCATCCTCGAGCCAAGAGATAAGTCAGTTTCTGACCCGTCTGCGATTGCTGCTGCTGTATATATTCGATCGGTCACATCTTCGTGCTGATGTCATTTTTGTTTTTCAGCTGTCTCCCAAGAGACTGAATATTTTCTTCGCTGGAGACAATGTTTAATTTATGCTATACACTTTACATTACAATTGTTACATATGTTATTTTGCTGTGATGGAAAGTACCTGGAAAATGATAAGTTTGGGTAAGGGAGATGGGAAAAAAATCTAACGAAAACGCTTCTAATCGACAAAGTTAAGTATATATACGGTCTCCAAATACACATCACTGCCACACAACACGCCTTGAGCCCAACACTAATTATAATTATTTTCTGATTATGCTCGTTTACGCAGGAAAGCCTCACTAAATTCGTGACTCTTTTTCAAAATGCTCCTGTCCAGTTATCGCAGGAGGGAGTGATGGTTGATATTGTAGATTCTATTGGAGATAATTTACAGTGTAACTTTTCAAATGTGGCAAGTTTGGACCGTGATGCAGGCACACAAAAGTAACTATTTTGCGAATGTCATCATGGGATCGTGAACATCCCCTGTGAAGGAGATGGTGCGTGGTATAGGTAAGGTTAACAAACACAAAGTATTAATCAGGGCGGCAGCGAGATTCAAACTGCAACAAATGGCGAATGCACTACCTCGGGGCCGCGTCATCGCCCACGTGACACTGAAAACGCACCGCACGGTCATCTCTCGATTGCAACGAGCGCGACTCTGCCAGGAAATATCAGTTTGAAATGTCGTGTTCTCAAATAACGCGCCGAGACCAATGGAGGGGGGGTGCTGGATCCGCCACTGACGGCACGGAGGAGAGTTTGTCTGTCAGAGCTTGTGAACAGTGAGGTTCTCTCCGATGATTCCAAACTCCCATGGGACGCCTGCTGAGACGTCGCCGCAGCACACCGGTGGCGAAGCACGGACGTCGAGAGCCGTGAGTGTTGCACGGCAAGGCGTCGGGAGAGAGCCCTGCCCAGGTGCCAGGACCAGTGACAGAGAGAGAGCGAGGAGGCGTAATTGGCAGCGACATAAAAAGAGATATGCACCTTGGTACAAGAGGCAGACTGGAAGTGGAGGAAGAGCGCTCAGGCTGATGGCGCTAAGCGGGCGATGGTCCCTGCCGAGTCGGGAAGAGGGGAGCCGTGGGAGCCGTGGGAGACGTGAGATGCGCGGAGTGGCAGGCGCCGAGTCGAGCTGTGTGGGGAAAGTGCTCTCGGCGAGGACCTGTGGAGTCCGGCACGGCACGCGAGGTGGTGGGCGGCCAGCACCACGTTCGGCCGCCTTTGTCTCACCAGTGGCCATGTTTACACACCACACCAGATACTCATTTGAAGTTGAGTCGACCTAGGGAAGCCCAGGACCAGTTCAGATAATCGTCAGTGGTGTTGGCCATGAGCAGGAATCGAACTCGGGTCGTTGGGTTCATAGCATCGCGCGCTAACCACTGCACCACTGTTCCCCTTCAGGGTTATGTACACACACACATAGGACTGAGACTTTTGTCCTGGTTAGTTCACGTGTATTGAAGTTGATAATTGGTTCTTTACCCTTCTATCTGGGTAAAGAACCAATTATCATATTTTTACTGGCAAATGAGGTCCCCATAGTGTGTTTTGAAGTTGTTAACGAGTAAGAATAAAAGCGTTTCCGTTCATCTTCGACAAGTCTCCGAGGAGGTGATGATTCCGCGCGTGTGCTGCGTGAATGACGTCGCAGGCTGTGGCCGAGCCTCCCGCCACGAAGGCAGCTGGCGTTGTCGTCTGCCGCGAGCAGAGCGCCCAAGCCACACATCAAGGCCGTAATCTATATATATAAAATCGCGAATCTGTCTGTCTGTGTGTGTGTCGCCGGACCATACGCACTTTCATTGGATGCCGGTTGCCCCTGGCAACGGCTAGCGACGCCTTCGCCGCTTTCATTGGACGGCGGTTGCCCCTGCCAGCGGCTAGCGACGCCTTCGCCGCGGGCTGCAGTTTCATTGGACGGCGGTTGCCCCTGCCAACGGGTAGCCACGCCTTCGCCGCTTTCATTGGACGGCGGTTGCTCCTGGCAACGCGTAGCGACGCCTTCGGCGCGGAGTGGACGCCATTTTTAATTACCCTTACAAATAGGCGCACGCACTAACACGCGACTCTCACGTTCATTCATCAAAGTTGCACGACCGGGTGCCCTACTTAGGCGAGGCCGGAGGCTCTGCACGCTACTACGCCTCGACACCCAGCACGCGACTGTGAGGTAAATGCATAAAAGTTTCACCTCCTCTTGACAACCCCCCCCCCCCCACCACAATGTTTGAAATTACTTTTATAGGGTCGCTACATTATTAAATTACAGCCATTACACAGTATTATTGCAGCACGGGGGGGGGGGGGGAACGCCACCCCGACCCAGCGTCATGCCTGGCAGGCAATTTAGGCGAGGCCGGAGGCTCTGCACAGTACTACGCCTCCACACCCCACCCGTGTCAAGCGACGACTTTGTCGTATAAAGTCGCTATACCCAGCGTTGCCCGGGGGGAAAATACATTTTAAATCTTAAGAAATATTTTGGCACACCAATTGACCTGTGACGTCAAATATGTCATGTGACCCGCGCATGTGTATGCGCAACGCATTGGAGTGTCGTGGTTAGCGCGCCGCGCTACGAACCCGGCCACCCAAGTTCCATTCCCGCTCACGGCCACCACCGGTGACGATTATTTGAACCGGTCGTGGGCCTCCCCTAGGTCGACTCAGCCTCAAAACGAGTAACTGGTGTGGCGTATGAACATCGCCACTGGGGAGACAAAGGCGGCCTGGCGTCGTGGATCCAAGACCCGGGCGAAGCCGGGTAGTACAGCTAGTTTGTATATATATGGGGGGGGGGGGGGGGACACACATCTCCCCCCCCCAATATTCAAATATGCTCAAAATGTTCCCCCCCCCCCCAATATATTGCTATGTAAATAAAAACAACAATTTGCTAAACCTTGGCCACAATATCTGGACTAGTCTTCATATAAATCAATGCATAGATTTCTGTTTATATGATTGTGGTTATGGTTGTACTTTATTAATCCCTAGTCTCTGCCATTACATGCAATGAAACAAGAAATGGTAAAAAAAGTAAAAACAGAGCAATGTAATACAATACACTATTATACATTATTGTAAAAAAAAAAGTCCATCCCATGTGTTAGTGATTTTTTAAATATTTTAGGCAGGAAATGAGTTTTAAAATTTAGATATTTTTCTGGGTTGGGACCCCCAGACACCCTCGAAGATTTGGTTCCCCCCCAATGTTGACTCCATGGCTATGGCCTTGCCACAAATAGAGATGGCAGGGCCGAATTAACACTCCCTGGGTTCCTCTTCGTCATTGGAAACAGCCGCAGCTGTGCATCACAGATACTCTGCCCTTCCTTAAAACTGTCACGGAAATGGGAACAAACGGGTTAATAAGGTTTTATTATAGAATATTAATAATTAGTTTCCTTCTGCATTTAAGCCATTTCCATACGGTATATATATGACAAAATCAAATAAATACTCATATAGAAAATAATGTTTTTATTAAATACTGCTTTTAGAGCAGTTTTCAATGCACACAATACTGCAAAGTGAGATTGCATATGTGGAATTATCATATGAAGCATGAATCATTACCAGTTCCTATAGGGTTAGATTGTGTAAGTATAATGAATGCTATTTCCATCCATGCCCTCTGCCACCCGAGAGTCGATCGAATCGAGTTGCCACGTCGGGGCAAATGTGGCAGTGGATTGGTTTATCAGCAAAACAGAGGAATATTTGAAAGCAAACAGAATATTGACAATTGCATACAAAGTGTTGCTGGATATTACATCCAGCAGCATCAGGTGTTTACAAAAGCTGAGGTCCCGCGTGCATGATCTCTTTGAAGCATACAATTCATATTGTTCACGGCACATTCGCCTCGATCATCACATTGTCAGTAACAATTATATTAAAAAAAAAAGCATACAAACTTAACTGCTGTTACAAACGCACTCTGATAGGCTGGCTATAAATGGAAGCCATTCTGAAAGGGAGCCATCTCATCTCAAGAAACCTTTGACGGCCACCCCGACACCTCTGTATCTTTTCAGCAGGATTGGTTTCAATGCAGGAAAACTCTGGACCGGTTTTGACATTCAGTTTCTCATCGGCAGAGCCAGGTTTGGTTCAGAGTTTGTCTTCCACCAATGCTGCAACAATAAAAAAAAACGGAATCGGAATCTTATTTATCCTGGAGAAATCCGATGAGCTATGAAGCTCTTTTTCACAAATATCCAAACTCCCAGGCCATGTGGCCAATGGAATGTGCGAAAAAATGTTTTAATGACCTGTGAAGGAAGAATAGACTGCGTATTTATCTTGACTTTCTTCTCCACAACGAGGCGAAATACTTTTCATGTCACCCTCAGTTCATATTTATAAGGCAGCTTATTTTCTCAATTCCTGGCAATTGTTTTTCAAACTGAACAATGCCATAGCAAGTGTAACCATGGGGACAAAAGTTCCACATTTAAGCATTTGAATAACCTAACAGAGTTATTTACGATTAACTTGTGGTCCCAATTCTAAATACAGGTGTGTTAAAGTGGTCATGAAAGATTCCGTGATATTGCTCAGACAAGCAGGCATCCTGGTATAGTAGCAATCGAAAATAATAATAAAATGTATTTACATAAAATGCGTATGATTCGTAGCTGTCCGTGAATAATGAACGTCTTGCTCCACAATGTAGTCATTGGCAGCAAAGAAGGTGACTAGAGGACAGAGTACTAAGCCAGTAGGACAGCTGAAGAGCATTTGAATCTGGGGTTCAGCCACCTGCGATGACACTGAAGTTTAAAGAGCACCGCGTTGACGGTCTCGCTTGGTCGCCAGTGACTTCATGCACAAAACGCATCGTGCTAAACTTTTTTCCCCACTCAATGTTGTTGAATTTTAGCCCTGATAATTAAAATATGTGCTTGACTACGAAGCGACACCAATCTCAAAGCAGAGCGTGGGAAAGTGTGCCCCATATTGTGTATATGTAGTGACATCGGGGATGTCACTGTATGGTGCTGGCCCCGTGGCGTGCGATGCACAGTCATCGCGTACACCCCGTAGGCAGGTGTGGTACCAGCGCTAGCGGGGCTTGGTGAGCGCTGGAATAGCGCGGCCACCACGCATGGCGTGTAGTGCGGGCTCCCACAAGGGGGAGCGGGAGAGTGTCAGCCCAGGGCCATGGCACTCTGATTGACCCCGTGGACACGTGATCTGGAGTGTCCATAGAGAGGTCCCCAGGTGGGGGGCTAGGGGGTGATCACGTGTCCAGGGAGAGCGCCCGAGAGAGATCGAGGGGGAGCTAGAACGCTCGAGAAGGCGGGCGGGGCCAAGGGCGGAGCGACCCCAACCCAGGGGGGATATAAGGTGGGTCCCTGAGAGGGACCGGGGTTCTTCGTTCGACAGCTGGAAGCTCTACGTCTACAAGCTGGAAGCTCCACGTCTACAAGCTGGAAGCTCCACGTCTACGAGCTGGAAGCCCTACGTCTACAAGCTGGAAGCTCCACGTCTACAAGCTGCAAGCTCCACGTCTACAAGCTGCAAGCTCCACGTCTACAAGCTGGAAGCTCCACGTCTACAAGCTGGAAGCTCCATGTCTACAAGCTGGAAGCTCCACGTCTACAAGCTGGAAGCTCCACGTCTACAAGCTGGAAGCTCCACGTCTACAAGCTGGAAGCTCCACGTCTACAAGCTGCAAGCTCCACGTCTACAAGCTGGAAGCTCCACATCTACAAGCTGGAAGCTCCACGTCTACAAGCTGCAAGCTCCACGTCTACAAGCTGGAAGCTTCACACCTACAGGCTGGAAGCCCTATGTCTACAAGCTGCAAGCTCCATGTCTACAAGCTGGAAGCTCCACATCCACAAGCTGGAAGCTTTACGTCTACAAGCTGAAAGATCCACGTCTACAAGCTGGAAGCTCCACGTCCTGCGAGGCATCAACACGTGGTCGGGGAACCGAGTGAGGGCCCGACCCTTCGTAGCTGTAACTCCTACGTATAGTGTAGTTAGCTGGGTGGTCACCACCCTGGGCTGTATCTGGTGAAGGGGCAGTTACCCCTTTGTGTTACAATAAATGGGTTGCCTCTAAAAAACGTCCGTGACTTAGTTGGACTCACTACATATAAACTGGCCACTTTTAGGGTTTGTCATACGTTGCGTGAAAATATATTGCTGAAAGTGCATTCGTGATGACATAGGGTCTAAGAGTTGCGCATTTATAAATGTACTTACTGGGAACTGGGTATAATAACCTGTAAATAGACCCAAAAAATACTTGAAATAAAAGCAAGATACCTTCTCTCTCTGCAAGTGATTATTTCACGATGGAAAGATGTTGATGTCGCTGGGAGCCGGGTTTGGTGAGTGCTGGAACAATCAACTAAGACACAGCAGCAGTGACACTCGCAGCTTGTGGTCTGGGTCACTGGCTGGGTGAAAGAAACCACAGCATCACGACCTTCCTCACCTTTGTTTCGTGCATTCCACAGTCGCAGAGCCAATCAAATATTCAGTGCAACCCTAACCCTTATACTCGTGACTCCCGCAACAGTCGGGACGTGAGCCACCTGTTGTTGAATGAGAGATGTTGGCTCGGCACATCGCCCCCCTGGGTTGGTCACAGAGGAGCAGGTGCAATGAAGGCGCCGACGGTGAACAGGAGCGCCGTTGACGGCGATTCGCGACGGTCATGATACGAGGTCACCCGGGGTCAAGCGGAAGCAACAGTTGCACACGCGGGCACCGGCTCCTTCGCACCGGCGCCCGCCGCCTCCACAACGGCGCCCCTTTGATGCGCCTCCCCCACGCTCCGATACAGCTCATTGTCCACCATGGTCAGCCCGTCGTCCGCGGCAGCGGGGGTCGTCGCGGCTCCCGGCGCGCCGCCGGCGTGCTCCTGCACCTCGTCCACCAGCTCGTAGATCCCGCCGCCGCCGCCCCCCGGCTCCGGCTCGCCCGCCCCCTCGGCCGCGCGCCCCGTCGCGGGGAGGATCGTTATTCCGTTGGCACCGCAGGGTGGAGGATTTTCCTTCTCGATGTCGTGGGCGCTGCCCGTCTCTGCCATAAGGTTTCCCGCTTCTCTGATGTCCACCATCTGCACCTCGAATACGCCGCTGCCCCTGCGCCTGCGAGCTGCGAGGCACCTGCACGCGCTGGGGAAGAGGCGCGCGCCCATCGTGTCTCCTCAGTCTGGCCCATTCGTGGTTCGGGTGCCCGCCGAGTTCTCTGCGCACTTTACCAATTTAAGTGCAATTCATGCTCTCAACTGTATTTCAAAATCAGGTCATGGAGTACCATAATCCTAATCCAAGTGTGAACATTTCTCATTAAAAAATAATCCCAACTCCCTCTATGGTGGTGTTCTGCCGATTCTATCCTGGCCAGTCGTGGACGTCGTCCCGTTTGCTCACTCGTGCCAGGCGAGCCGGCGCAGCACAAGACTCTCACGCTCGAGAGGTACCCGCACAGCCCTGTGCTCAATCCACTTCTGGCTGAGAACCGACTCACGCCTTGTGGCGTCGTGGGAACTATTTTTCCATACTTCGCTACGCTGGTCAGTGTGGGTTGTGGACGGCAGGGAACACAGATGTGGAAGCAAAGACGGTTTGGTCAGGTGTTGTATGTACTGTGTGTTGAGCTTCTTTCGCACCGTACGTAGCCAACCGTGCTAATCATAGGTGTGGTCAGACGCAGGATACGGACATCAGCTCTAATGTGTGGCTTTGTAATGGAAGCGTGTGTAGAAAAACTCACTTAAGGGCTCACCTCAGCACGCAGACGAACACCAGCAGGGTGACCAGAGTGACCGATAACCCGAACACCAGCAGGGGAATCAGGTTCGCCTTTGCAAACAAACGCTCGAAATCACCTGCGTACAAACAACAGCCGGGGGTCAGAGTCACGGTTCAGCGACGTCATAGCACGGCATATTGTGCACTTCTACTTGGTCTCGCCTTCACACAGCTCACTCACGTCTTGGCAGAGACTAAGAGTGGCCACGCATCCAGTGTGAAGGAGGAGAGCCACTTTGTCATCACGCTGGAGGCCGATATCTTTATCCTTGAGCTTTGTTACTCACAAACTCCTGAGTCTCAACTCTGTTTCAGGAGGCTCCTGCCACGTTATCGCAGTCGGGGGGCGAATTCCCACCGAGTAACTTTCAGGTGATTTCTTTTCAGCGTTGGGATATGTTCGCCAATACCAGTTGCATTGTATGGTTTTTGTTAGCGATGGGAGTAAATCAGATAACACGGAGGAATCCCATGCAGAATAGGGGGAGAGAATACAAACTCAACACAGAGGGTTTATGTCCACAGTCTGGACTTGTGATAGTGTTGATGTGAACTATACGCACTGCAGTGTGAAGGAACGTCACCTTTGATTGTTGGCGATGTGTTGCTGAGCTGGCTGGTTGTGCTGCGTACTGTAATTTTTTCCTCTATAACACAAAAACACCAATATTTGCGTGCGACAATGGTACAGTAGCAGATTGATTGCTCTAAAGAAATAGAAAACAAATTTCGATTGAAAGCTTTCGTGACTGCAGCGATTCATCTTCTTGGTTCTTTCGGTAAAGTCACGTAGAATGGAAATAATAAAATAATAAAATAAACCAATAAAATAATTCTCACGACGTTTCGGCCACAACGCAAGTAACCTGGTCTTCATCTAAGGACGGCTACTTGCGTTGTGGCCTAAACGTCGTGAGAATTATTTTATTATGTTTTATTTTATTATTTTATTATTTCCATTCTACGTGACTTTACCGAAAGAACCAAGAAGATAGAAAAAAACAGTTTTGCACGTGAGTTTTCCAATAATAAAAAAAAAAATTGGTAGAAAATAAGCTTTCAATGCGCACACTTTTATTTGTACTCAAAATTAGAAATAAATTATTTTGATATTCTTTGGGTCTTTCGGTAAAGTTACGTAGATAGAAAAAATAACAATAAAATAATAAAAATAGAGTGAATAAAACATAATAAGAATATTACGATGTTTCCATCGCAACACACGCAATCGTCATCAGGAGAAAAAAAAAATGTTGACCCCGGAAACAATCTAATTTGGTTTGCTCTATAAAAGAGGGTGGCCTGCATAAATACAAATGTCGAAAGGAAGCCACCAAATTTTGTAGCACATCAACATTTGTTTCTGCAAATAAAAGTGTGTGCTTGTTGTTTTACATTGTTGTTGTTGCTCTCGCTATCAGGACGAGGGCTGTTAAACAGCCACTGGGGCGCCATGACCAGCGGTGACATTCGCGTCTCTTTCACTGCTCACAGGCTGCCCAGCAACATCCGCTGTCGTTGAACCAAACGTTTACCGTCGTAGGTGGGCATGACCATTCGTGATTTTAAAAAGTGGGGGGGGGGAGGGGTAAAATGTACGATTACACTGTGTAACAAATTGTATTTCTTTTTGTTCCTGGGTAGTAATTGTTATTTCCTAATTGCTTATGCCTCAAAAGTAGAGAAAATGCCTATTATTCCCCACAAACTTTGCTTTTGTGACCAGGACAGTGATATTTTGAAATGTACCTATTTTCCAGAACATTCCAGATAGATTCAGTGCCGAGTAAACTTGGAGTAAATTCGAGAACATTCTAGAACTTTCCAGTAATATAAATAGTAGTATAAGTACAGGGGCCTTAAGCCCACCAGTTCAGTTTAGTTCCAGCTGCCTAAGTGGATACATATCTGCATTTTTCTGAGATGGCATCAGGAGGCTGCAAGCATCTGGCAAACGCATTTTGCGATGTCTGCGACCAATTTATCAAGACAAGAGCGAAAACGTACTCTGTGGAAGCATCTGCTAAGATGTGTGATGCCGACAAGGCATATTTCGGCATGCCTGTCGGGGATCAAGACAAACCCTGGGCACCTCATTTCACCTGCGAGCAATGCAAAAAAAAACTCTGGAAGGTACGATGTACAATTTTTGCTTGGAATTTTAGGTTATAAAATTTGTAAAAAAAAAATTATGTTTAACAATTTTCAATGTAATTGAAAAAATATATAAAGTATGAAAAATGTTGCGAGAATCTCTTACACATTAGGTCATGGGTGAAATACATGTATTTTTGTAGGATGGTACAGAGGGGAAAAGAGAGCCATCAAGTTCGCTATCCCAAGAATTTGGCAGGAACCCACTGACCACTCAAGCAACTGCTACTTCTGCATGGTGGACCCTTCCAAACGTCGGACTGGCAAGAATGCACCTGCTATCACGTATCCGGACCTTCCTTCATCCATCACCCTGGTGCCACACTGCCATGAGCTCCCCGTACCCACTCTTCCGGAGAGATAGCAGCTGTCTTTAGAAGAGAACAGCAAGTCAGAGAGCGAGGAATACGTTGTAGATCCAAATGACAATTTCAGAGGTGGAGCTGAGGAGAGAAGCCCATACTGCCCCAACCAAAAATACCTCAACGACTTGAACAGAGATCTTGGTCTCACAAAGTCCAATGCCGAGCTTTTGACGTCTAGGCTCAAGCAGTGGAACTTGTTTGATGACAGTGTGCAAGTCGCAGATCAGAGGAAGCGTCACCAACCATTTTGCAGCCTCTTCACTCGTCAAGATGGGCTCTGCTGCTGCCACAATGTGACCAGTCTGTTCGAGCCAATCGGAATCGCCTGTAACCAGAATGAGTGGCGCCTCTTCATTGACAGCTCATCCAGGAGCCTGAAAGCCATGCTGCTCCATAATGGTAATAAGTACCCGTCTCTTCCCCTGGCTCACTCGGTGTACCTCAAAGAGGATTACAACAGCATCAAGACCTTGCTGGACGCCTTGAAGTATGATGAATATGGCTGGGAGGTCATCGCAGACTTCAAAATGGTGGCATTCTTGATGGGTCTCCAAGTCGGTTTTACCAAGTTTCCCAGCTATCTTTGCCTTTCGGACAGCAGGGACACCAAGGCGCTCTACCACAGGCGGGACTGGCCACAGCGGACCGGTTTTTCTGTGGGGAGGAACAACGTCAAGTGGGAGCCACTGGTGGACCCCCGGAAGGTGCTGATGCCACCACTGCACATGAAATTGGGCCTTATGAAACAATTTGTCAGAGCTGTAGATAAGGAGTCGGCAGCCTTCAAGTACCTTAAATACTTCTTCCCTAAGCTGTCTGAGGCAAAGGTTAAAGCCGGTGTCTTCGTCGGACCACAGATAAAGAAGATCCTGGAGTGCAATGAATTCCCCAAGAAGCTCACTATTAAGGAGAAAGCAGCTTGGAACAGCTTTGTCGCAGTGGTTCGTGGCTTCCTGGGCAATCACAAGGTCTAAAACTATGTGGAGCTAGTTGAGACTCTAGTGAAGAACTATGGCACAATGGGCTGTAGGATATCCCTCAAAGTCCATATCCTTGATGCTCATCTTGATAAATTCAAGGAGAACATGGGAGCGTACTCGAAGGAGCAAGGCGAGCGCTTCCACCAGGATATACTGGACTTTGAATGCCGCTACCAAGGACAGTATAACGAGAACATGATGGGAGACTACATTTGGGGGCTGATTTGTGAATGTGATTTACAATATAATTGTAAATCTCGAAAAACTATTGACTTCTAACTCTTGTGTAGTAATTTTTGTATTACTTTAGTATAAAAACATGTTAATTTTGATTAATGTTGTTTTTTTCTGTCTTTATGTGAACGAAAATACATAAATTCGCCCGTTTTATCATTGAAAATAGGTACATTTCCAAATATCACTGTCCTGGTCACAAAAGCAAAGTTTGTGGGGAATAATAGGCATTTTCTATACTTTTTAGGCATAAGCAATTACGAAATAACACTTACTACCCAGGAACATAAATTGTGTTACATAGTGTTATTAATGATTAAAATATAGTTAAAACACGAAAAGGACCACGATGGGCAGGACCTGGACCGGTAATTAAATCTTGAATTGTCACGCAAGGCGAGTCTGTGTAGAAATTTTCAGCTCGTTCGGCTTCGTAGATCTGAAGATATTTAGTGTCAAAGATTCCAAAGATTATAAACAGAAGAGCAATTAGTGGCTAGAGAATAAATCAGGTCCAATTGGTTCTACATGCAGAAGAGGGCTTATCAGTCTTCATCGGTGTGAATGATGAACCTCGCAGATGATGGGTCTTATCAACCAATGAGCTGGGAGCATTAAATAGCCAGGGGAAGTTACATACAGGGTGCTTCAAACAAACGTTAACACTTCTGAGAATTTGCAACAACACCACAAGAAATGTGCCTCCGGACTCTGGAGACCACCTGGAGAAGATTCCAGTCACGTGTTGACAACGATGGCAAACAAGTGGAGACTCTTTGACTTTTTGAAGCTATTAACATACATTTGTTATCATGTTACAGTGTTATCCGGTTTATTTCCCATTGAAAACGATAGTCCCATATCAATGGCAACATTTTTTTGAGGCACCTTGCATATAAAAAGAGGCCCAAGTCTGCTTAATGAGGACTCCCTGGGGGAGAGAGGTTGCAGCAACTGGAGCACGGCATATTCTTTGGTTCTTTCGGTAAAGTCACGTAGATAGATAAAATGATAATAAAAGTAAATAAAATAAAATACGTTTCGATCACAACACAAGCGATCGTCTTCAGGAGGAAAAAGGGGGAAGGTCACTGAAGGAAACTGTTTTTAAAGATTTCAAAAATGGGCGTGGCACAAGCTTCTGGTGTCAGAGCGAAGGTGCCCTGGGGTCAGAGAGTACCAAGGTGAAGCACGGAAGGTGACAACATACAACAAGTTATGACTTAAAGAGTTTGTACCCATCCTCTCTGTTGAAATTGTGTCTGTGTCTGTATATATGGATGGCTTCATGAACGAATATTTGTTGATAGCTAGTGAGCTTGCAACGTACCATCGTCTTAGAGAAATCAATTTCGTGTGAGCCAGTCGCATTAAAACAATGATCAGCCACAGCCGAGGTATTGGTCCTACCGTGTTTCAAATCTGCCTTATGCTCACGAACACGGTCCGAGATATGTCGCTTAGTTTCCCCAATGTAACTACTGCCGCAGATACAGCTTAGTTTGTTGGCGCTGGGATATTGCATGTCAGGGATCTCGTCCTTCACAGATGGGATCAGATCACGAATTTTATGTACTGTGTTAAATCGAACCTGGATCTTGTGTTTGTTCATGATTTTGGATATCTTTTTGGTGATCCCTGCTATGTATGGCAAGGTGATGGTTTTGATTGGATCCTAAGATGGCTCCTTCATCACGGTTGGGGTGATGGCTTTGCAGAACTACGGACCAGGAGGACATCAGGTGGCTAGCCAGGGACAACGGCCAGCAGAGAGGCGTTGGCGTTATAGGAAGAACGAGGCAGGGAGATTAAGTAAACTTCTACCCCCACTATAAACATGTAGGGTGTCTATGGGTAGAGGGAGAGCCTACTAGGAGGGTTCACTCTGTTTCCAGGCAGCTTGGTGGGGCAGCCAACTGAGGAGCAGTGGCGAACACGCACGGGAGTGGAATAGCGCGGCTCGGAGTGCCGGCCTTGGGTGTCCTACTACTACGGTGTCCTGGGAGGAACTATGCTAACAGTTTTGTGCAGTATAGAGTTGCGGTAATACTGACAGTCTTGTGTGCGCACACATCGCGTCGCAGTGTTGAGCTGCACTTCCGTGTTGAGAGTCTGTCTTCTGAACGTGGGTGTTTTGCTGAGAGATGCTCACAGAAGCAGTATCTTTAGACACATGGCGATGGTCGCACAGAACGGTGTGACACTGACTATGCTTGTGCAAGGTGGGACTTTAGCTGGTGCACAGAAGTACGCTACAACGAGTTGTCCAGGGGCTTTCAAAGTCTCACACAGTCGATTCGGCCCTATATGTAGGTAATGCTAACACCAGGCTACCGATGTCCAAGAATGAGAGACTCGGGCGGTGTTTGTATGGATAAACATAGAACCGTGTGAGTTGGCACCAGGGTGGTGCGACTCCTTCCCTGATGCCGTGTCTTCGAGTTGGGACTCTGCCCTTCTATTTCTCTAATATCACGGGTTGAGCTCTATTTATAGTGACCTCAGATCGCTAACTCGCATCCCACCCGTGGTACTGACTCAAGACGTCCTGATTTTTTTATATTTGATACATGAACCGAGGGTAAGGGTCCAGAGGACCTCTAATGGGCTTTACCTGCAGTCTTGGTTATGACAGTGATGTTGACTCCACGCACTGCTGTCTGTTGGAACGTTACTGTGATGCCGCCGCCGCGAAGCCGTTCGGCAGGCACCAAATCCCCGACCTCGCCACCACCAAGCAACGGAGCCGACCCCGCGTCCCCCTCACCTCACATGAACACACCCGCACTCATTTCCCCCCCCCCCCCCCCCATAGAGCTCCGAGGGGAGGTCGCCTGGCCGACCGGTTTTTATCTGAGAGACCCTTATCGGGATTAATTCTCACGGTTTCCGGCGATCAGGGAATTGGATGACCTCCCCCGTGCTACGTGGCACCGCGGCGCTGCGGCCGGCCTTAATATGGTGTGGTCGCGGCGTGGGGCATTCGGCCACCGCGGTTGAGGCGCATTTCCCCCCACACACACCCCCACGAGTCGACGGGGCAAGCAGGGGAGGCACGGGACAGCATGAATAGCGGGATCACAGGGGCTGTTGCGCATAGTCATGGAGGGTTGGGATAATTGCGCTTGAGCGCGCAGGCCCCATTGTTAGGGAGGGTAAGGGATTAATTAGGATTTACGCCTTGCACGCGGCACACTGATTAGCATATCAACAGCGCCCAGAACCGCCGTGCGCGTGCCAGAGGATCGCGAGCCCATTGTTTAGCGCAGCATCCCCTTTGAGGTAGGGAGGATAAATAGAGGGGCGCAGAGGGGAAATAGCTCTCTTCTCTCCAGGCCAGCGGATCAGCAGCAGCTCCAGCCAGCGACCCGGACGTCCGTGCGACGCATCGAGGTACGTTGTTAGCGCAGAGAGCAGCGAACCTCCGCGGGCACCAAACAGTAAGTGGGGAGGTGAAGTAGGGTAGCGTAAGCCGATAAATAGGGAATAGGTACAGGTTTGGGTGGAATAGGCCAGCCTCGTCGACTCACTGATTCAACATCAATTCGCAGGTAACATATAATAAATCATTAATAGCGAAGCGTGGTCTCGCGTGATCTTGTCGTGCAGTGTGAGCGTGTGGGTGCGCGTGTGTACGCAGTGATCCTGTAGTGCTGCGGCTCGCCTCGGGGGAGCGCTGCGCAGAGCGGTGCGAGAGTGGGTGTCGTGTGTGCTCACTCCGTGTGTGATACAGGTGCGCGATCGTAACTTGAGTAGTCCGTGTGGAGTTGGAGTGCACGAAGCGGCGTGTGTGTGCGTACGTTCGTTACGTGTCGGATACGGATGCGCATTGGTAACGTGCCGCACAGGGCTATACTGCGAGCACGGCGTTTGATTGATGATGATGTGCGCACGTATGCTCGCAGCGTGGGAGCGCGGCGCGAGGCTGTAACAGTAGGGGCGTCGCGTTCGAATGCCGGCGAAACCGTAGCGGGTAATAGGGAGGTGGGGTAACGTAAACGAAATAGGGGATGCAGGCGGGAGGGACCCCGGGGGCCAACGGCCCCCACATTACACCTTTTAATGACAATGCGTTGCTATTCTGTATGGTTGTGTTGGTTCTTCCTGCAGTTGATGTCTCTGTAAAAAAATACAAATTTATGTCATTGTGCAGAATGTAGGTAACAAAAAATAAACAATCCCACATGTCTGTCCAGAAACATACAAATTCGACATTTTCTACGTTTCTGTCAACCACATGGCCTTCTGGAAGAACAACGTGAACAGCATTCGTTCAATGCAAGCAAACTCTGGAGCAGTTTCTGCTTACAGTGCTTCATCAGCAGAGTCAGGCTCGCTTGACCCAACGCTGGTGAAACATCGCGACCTATCCAGTCACATGGGGTTACACCGGCAGTCTGCAAATGTGCAGTGCGAAGTCTTGTCTCCACCTTTTGTAACGATGTTTGTGTTCCTAGAAATGGGGTCACATGCTGGTGGAATGAACGAACGCACACAGAGGAAGGTGAAGATGGTTGATAAAAAAAATGTTATTCTGATAATGGATAACGTGGTGATGGCAATAATGACGACGTTGACAATGATAAAGATGATAATTAAAATATATTGACACAGTGAAGGTATGGTGATGATGAAGGTAAAGATGGCAACGGTGAAGATGATATTGATAAAGGGATATTTTAAATCCACGATCCTCATTTATTCTGATCACTTTACAGATGCTTCTATGTTTGGCCAATTCCCTTTTAAAGCATCGTCAGCCATGTTATATCCCATCTGTTGGATGAAGACTTCCTCAAGTCAACGCAATTCCACACCGTCTCGAGATGCAACAATCCACCAAGCTCCCCCACAAGCCAATTTCTTTGCTCCATCACCACGGTGGATGTACCGCTCGGGCATGAGCCACCCCCGTGCGGCCATCAAACCCCCTGTAACCATGGCGTGTACTGCCCAAGCCCATCTGCTCTCTTGACGGTCAATACGACGTTTCTTGCATGTTCCCCAATTCACGTTCTCTCTCTCTCTGACATCCCAAGTCTGCACATTTCCTACGCCTCATGCACTGATTTGAAGAGTTATCATATGCAGGAGCTTGGGATATGTACGGTGCAAAAGAAGTTTAACATGCAACAGGCCGATGCGCACATCTCCTTCGTTAATGGGAAATGCAAAGACAAGCCTGATTAGTGCGATTGCGGCCCTGCAACCCAAACTATGGACCATGTAAACCCATATACACGTCGAGATACATAGAGATGCATTAAAGACACAGGCCACAGTATTGCAATTATGGGCATACAACCCACATGTTGGACCATGTAACAATCCATTGTGGTCCGCACTCCCTTAACAGAGGAAGAGGAATGGGAAAACGACTCTAACTCGACTGAAGTCCGTTTAACACGCAGTAGGCTTTCTGCGACCAATATCATCCATAACAGAGGTTTTTGGGTTAGATCGCGTAAATATATAAATGTGTTGTTAAAACCCGCCACCACGCGACACAGCCAACTAGTAAGGGTTGTCACGTAAACAGAACGTGCCAATTGGTCACTAGTACAGCACTAACCGGTGTGTATATTTACGCGATCGAACCCAAAAACCTCCATTATCTACCGAAGTCGTCTCGTCGTGACCAGCAGCAGACCGCGATTTGGCATCCGGCTCATGAAGATTGCTGTGATCGTGCTGCTTCATTCTCGTAATAAAGTATTTTTTTAAAAACCGGCAAGGATTCTGTTTCTTCACATTCCATAAATGAAACAAGCAAGTGTGTGCTAACGCTTACCACTCTTGTTGTTACCATGGTCTTGCCCATTCACAGCGGCCAGCCACAGACAGCACAGAACACACAACTTGAAGATCATTTTGGCTCTCGCAGGTCTTTGACTCGAGCTGAGGACAGAGTTGAGAGAGCAGATGATCGAGGGCACTGCTACCATGTGGCTGCAGCGAAGAATATGGTGTGGTCAAGCCGAGGCGTGTTCTCTTCAAAAGTTGCAGAGGGCGTTTGTTTCCACATTAAAAGAGGAACTGCTGACTGTAGTTTCAGCATATCGGCTAAAAATTGGTTTCCTAAACCCTGGGTGTATGCGGATAGTTTCCCCATGGGACCACCACTGTGGGTTCTCTTCAAGGTGACGCTTGTTTTTCATTGCCCTCAGTGCGATGAAGGACCGAGTCGCGTGCGATCCAGGAGTTTGAAGTGAACTTGTTTCTGCGACCAGCGGGAAGGATGCTGGCTCAGTTCGCTACCGGCAGCCCTTGGGGTGGGGGCTCTACCCGGCACTGAGTCGGCTCGGGGAAGAGGGCGCAGTGGAATTAGTTTTCCTTGCCGAGCCGTGCCGAGCCGCGCTCTCGCCTGGTCCCAGTGTGGCGACATCAGAGAGTGTGCAAGCGGCACCAGTGCCGGGCACTGACGTCACTCGGTTCACCTCCCACGGCCGTGCTTTTATCTATTCATTTGTAAACTGCGAAAAATCACATGGATCAAATGCAGTCGTAAACAACATTAACTGTGAGAGCAGCAGCATTTCTGTGTGGCTATGGGAAGGAAAGGGACGGACTCAGGAGAGGCTGAGTCTGCCTGGAGAAGAAGTGTGACTGGGGAAGTGTCACGACTCGAGGTATCTTCCCTCACTGTCAGCGACGCCCATAGCTCGCTGATCGATACAAATAGTCGCCCAGGGTGGGTTTTGCTGTTTGCATTTACACACTCCGTGCGTACGAGGCGAAATAGCGGCGCCAGGTGAACTGGAGATGCGTCTCGGGTGCTAGAGCGGACGATATCATGCATGAGCCCCCAAAACGTCTCTAACGCCTAAACATCGTGATTCACAATTCTGACAGCTGCCGATGATACTGGCTGTAATTACTGGCTGTAATTGCCAGTGAAATACCCGCACTCAAATGTTCCATGTGTGTGGATCGCTTCCCCATGAATGCGTCCATGGTGGTGCTGCTGCTGAATCGGTCATATATTGGCACGTTTATGAATCACGTGACAACTCTATTAAGATTCCGTGTCAAGGTGGAGGGAGGCTTTACAAGACAAATGTTATGCGATCTGACTCACTACATGGACGAGTCGTAACTGTGGTGCCAAGGCCTTGGAGCAACTCTGCAAGCGCTGCGACTCCTCCCCTGGCCCCCACATTGAGCACACACACGCAGCGCACACACGTAGTGTCCTGGCGGGGGGTTGCCTGGCACGACGGGTTTTAATCCAAAGGGTCCCTAGGAGGAAAGTCCCACGGTTTCCCGGTGCCAGGAGATTGGCCGGCCCTCGCAGGACAGGTCACATTGCGGTGCCCCTGAGTTGGCCTAAAATTGTATGGGTGCAAAAAGGTTCACCAAGCCAGCCGCAATGAGTCATTCACGACCTCGAGGGGCTGGAATATTAAGCGAGAAGAGCAGACCATGATGTCAGGGGATCGCAGCGCCACGACCTACCCTGACCCCCAGACCGAATACACACTCGCAGGGTGTGTATTCGCCAGCCGGGCGTCCTTCCAGATTAACCAGGGTGAGTAATAAATTAATGAGTACGGATGGACAGAGGATAGTCGCAGAAGCACCCGCCGCAGCGCTCCATGCAAGGGAAAAAACGGGCGATAATCACAGGTAGGCGCACGATTGGCCGCGCAGTATAACGTGACCCCGAGCTTTTGAAGTCAATGGGATAAAAAGTAGACTGGGACCATTCAAAAGAGACTCTTCTTCAACATCTTGGTCGCCCCCCCCCCTTGCCGTCCTGCCTCCTGGAGCCGCTCGCGGCATCTGTGTGATGCCAGCGAGCGCCGCCACGAGGCAGTGGTAGGTGAAGTTTTCTCTCGTCCTTCTCCCTCCGACTCCCACAGCGTCCGTGCGACGCCGTGAGTACAGCTACGGGGTACGTAGTAGGCGTTTGAGTATCTGGGGACTTGGGCAGCAGTAGGCTATAGGCTCTTCTCACCAAATATTCACTCCGCTTAGTGCGGGATTTGTGTCGGCCCGATCACTCGTTCGGCGGGGGCCCGGTGGGGGCCACCCGACGAGATGGCGACGAGATGGAGGAGGGAGCGGAACGGGTGGACGTCGGGCCCCACATCAGCTTGTGGTGATGCGTTGGCAGCGGTGCATGGGCACAGGTAACAACAAACTCAGCAAGTCATGTCTGTAACACTGTGGCCTTAACACGTAGACGTATATAATATGCAACGTTTATGGCAATTATCCTTTCTCATAACACACAAATTATTCAAGCGATATGAAGAATGGATTAATGTATGTTCCCCTGTGTTCTTACTACCTAAATATAGTTAAGTATAATCTATAGTTAAATCTGTCCAATGCTGGGATATATTATTCTACTCTCATGGGAAGCCGTGCATGGCTGGGCACATAATCCATAAAACGAGGAAGTGTTATTAATCGCACCCTGTATCAATTCTGAGACTGTAAGGAGGAAACGTGGTCACCGCAGGACTTGCGGAACCTGAGAAAAGTATCTGTTTCCATGTTAGCAATGTGACTTCTCTGCTAACATTACCAAGTTGTGGAGGGTCAGGTGCCTGAGGTTAGAAGCAGCGCCCCATGATTAAAGTGAGCTCTCAGTGTAGTGTTTGGTCTTTGCTCAAAACGCAAAGTTGTAAACGTAATTGCTTTTGCACTCAGAATAAATTCCATCACTGGCAATAGAAAATGTATTGAACCAAAGAGTATAGAAAATATATTGGTTTGACTGTCTATGCGATAAACGGTTAGGCATGCTCCGTAGCAGGGCATTGGAAAAGTGTGACGCCTTAAAGGATAAAGAGGCCACTTAAAGGATGTTTTGGAAGAAGTATTTTGAAAAATCCCAAACGCAGCCATTCTTTGACACTCGGAGTGGCACCGTCAGATTCCTGGGGCAGCCGCGTTTACGGCAGCCGCGTTTACGACACTTAAACGTGACGGTAGAGTTCGTGGTGTGCGCTGCTTTACGGCATCGTGCGCTGCTTTACGGCATCGTGTGCTCACGGCTCACATCAGTGGCGAGTGACACCTGGACAGGTGCGGGCCTCCCCTTGGTCGACTCGAACTGAAATGAGTGCCCGGCGCGGTGGGTAAAACAAACATCAGCAGCGCGCTCTGGGGACACACGAAGTCGCACCGCCCACTCCGCCTGTGTCGGGGCGCCCTTCATAGCAGCAGAGGCAGAGAGAGAGAGGTGTGTGGTGGTGGTGGCGGCACTGGGAGAGATCTAAAGCCAGGGAGGGAGACGGGGAGAGGGGCGATGCTGGAGAACGCGCGGCCCCGCGTGTTCGCGAGGAGCGCGGATCGCGTCCTCACGGAGCGCGACGAAGACGAGACCCTTGCCGACGAGATCGACTCGCGGGAGGTGTTCGATATCCTCTCCTCCAATTCCTCGCCGCCGGCACTTCCTCGCCATCTGCATCTCATCGCCATCTGCATCTCCTCACTTCGCCTCCACGCTATGTGAACCCACGTTTGGCTTCCTCCTCCGAGCCGCCACCCGTTTCCTCCGCGCGAAACCCGCCCGGGTGTGGTGCCCTTCTCCCGGCAGCGGCGCAGGCGAGGCCGAGGCCTCGTCAGGCCGCGCTAGGCCCTCAGAGCAATACACGCTCCGTCTTTAAAGTGGGATTGTTTGTTTTACTTTATAACAAATTAACTACGGCTAAAGCTTATCAAATTATATTTAGGATTTACATAAAACTGTCAAGTTATAATGCATAGTTCAAATTGCTGTATTTTAAACAAGCAGAGAAAGTTAAATCAACTCTAATGTATAATAAACCACAAGTTTAAGTCGTTTAAAATGGAAATACGTTTTAATTTAACAAATCACGAGTGTTGATTTATTCATTAATAATTAATGAACTTATTTACCTCGTGCTATGATTGCAGTGGCCTGAGATGTTTGGTGGTTTAGCATATTATTTTAGAAATCATCTCACAAATATAGTTATCACATGAAAGTGCTTGATTTTGAGTTTGCCTCAGAATTCATCGTAAGACAAACCCCTTAACGACGTTCAATGTTGACTACTTAACTCGCACTTGCCACATCTGATCCGAGGCATCAATGACCCTGAACACCCCCTCACGCTGGAGGAGCTCAAGGTGGTGGAGGAGGCTCATGTCCGTGTAAGTGGCGCTGCTCCGACGCTTCCCACGTGCCCTACAGCCATTCCCACACCAGCACCATTGCTGGGCCCGTCTATTCGTACGCACGCGTTCAGCGGTGTGAAACATGTGGTGGACGTACATGCACCAGTCCTAATGGGGTATTTCCTAAAAAATGTTTGGCTAAAAAATCATAACCTCTAATTCGCAGCACCTACCTTGACGATAAAACAAATGAAAGAGAGCACAGTACATCGAGTGTGTTGCGAGCCCTGAGAGTGAGCCGTGCGGGTCGTGGCGTTGCTCAGGTGATCGATGCGGAGAGCATGGTGGTGGTGGCCTTCACGCCAACCATCCCCCACTGCAGCATGGCGACGCTCATCGGCCTCGCGATCCGCGTCCAGCTGCTGCGCTGCCTGCCCGACCGTTTCAAGGTGGCTGCTGCTGCTGCTTTTTCCTACCTGCCGAGCCTCACCACTCGGGGCGTAGCGATTCGCCCCGTCACGAAACAACACATTGCCATGACTCAGGGTCGAGATTTAATTGAAGAGTTGATTCTTCTTTGAATAATGTGTTGCATTGTAGCAGTATGTACCGGCCGAAGGGTCCACGTAAACCAATTATATACAACGTCTATGAATCGAAAAAAAATGCGCAACTTAATGCATGTATTGAGAACTAGAATAATCAGAATAACGAAATTGATGCATAATTACACCTGGAATAACTTCCTATCCACTGCTTTCGGCTGTTATCACGACATTTTATGTAACGCCGATAGTATTTAGGCATCTGCAGAGGCAGTCCAGTGAACTGATTATGGACGGATACTTTTGGGACATTTGAGTGCTTCCTGTGCATCTGAGCTGACCCTGGCAATCTTGTAGTGTGTAGCCTGTCACCAACAACACTACACCCTCTGAGACACAGAGACTTGGGGAAGCTCCCCTAGGTCCGAATTTAAAAGTGATTTTTTTTTAATTGTCTGTGAAACGAGATTTCTGTTTATATTTGCTTCTGACAGACACTCGTAATGCATCACAGCAACGCGTGAGTTTGCTTAGACTACTGCTCTTTGCTTTGAACGGGGTCCCATATTCCGCGTGGAGTGCCCTTGCCAATAACATGGCAATCAGCTGCATTTGCTTCACAAGCATGAGTCTGCTGACGATGCTTCACAAGCATGAGTCTGCTGACGATACCCAGTAAAAACTGGTATACAATTCGCTTTCCTCAACATGAACCCTATGGCGGGACCCCGGGGTCCCATAAGCCCCTGACTCTGGTATAAACATATTATAGTGTAAACAAAAA